GGAGAGGTGGTCAGTGTATGACATGGTGTCGTGGCATGAAAGAAAGCTGCGAAGGGCTGGCTTCTGTTGGTCCTTCACGACGCCCTGGCTGCAACACAGTGGCTAGAGACGTTGTCAGATATGGCTCAGAATAGAAACCAGTGGCGATCCTGCATTAACCTTCTTTTACTTTCTTCATAAAAAGTGGTTGTGTCTTCCTTAACTGAAAGAATTCTTCTGGTTGTACTTTTCCGTTTCCCCCACGATTATTATTACACTGCCTTACACTAATCTGTGGTCGTTATTGTTCTTCTTTTCTTTCCTATATGCTCCTTACCTTCTTTTTTCTCTTCCAATTCTCATTGTTTTGTGTGGCGCACATATATTTGGTGCCCTCTTGTACCAATATTTATGTGTTCAAATACATAAATAACTGTTGGATTGAACCATGTTAGTTGATGCCGAATATTGACTTGTGGTTCTTTCGGTAACTGTGATTAGTGGTTGGAGATTTTGAGTGATATGACTCAGATTTGTTCACAGTGGTGCAAATGGATTCACTCTTTATCTTCGTCTTGAATTCTAGTATTGCTCCATACATACCTTTGCATTTTATCTTTTCGAACCATATTTCCAACCTTTAGTCTTTATCATTATCATCGCTATTACATTATATCAGTCTCTTTTGATATTCATCTTATCGTGTTAATATGACATGGAAACTTGTGTTAAACTACATTTGTGCCAGGCTTTGCGTTGATGATAATTGAGTGAATGTTGCAAATGATCCTAAACCATTGTGTATTGCTTTTAGATGGTACGACAAAAGTTACAATTTTCTCTTTCATACTTCGTATATTCTGCTCTACAACAGGTTTTGCTAACTGTTCATTTATGATTAAAATATCAATCGCATGTTTTCTTGAATAAACTGCAGTGTCTTACTGAAGTTCCCAATTACCTCAATTTAATGGGAAATAGTGTCCAGTTTCATACATATCAAGGCGGTTGCAAATGAAACATACAAATAACTTACCTTACAAATTTATACTTAATAAACCTTCGTGTTCGATTATTGTCGCCTTCAGAGGCTTCTGTCATTCGATTACAACAAATAATACACAATCATGTGGCCCAGAGTTAAAATCCTCTAGTACTCCTCTTAAAGTTAATGCCAGTCCCAAGCCGGACAAAGAAGGAGGGTTGATTATAGGATTAACAACTTCATCCCGTAAAAAACAACCTTGCTAAAAAAAAAACTCTGACCAGAAAAAATCACTTAAACTCTGCATTGAGGGTTCAAGTATCTTCATCGAGAAGAGTTATGATACTGGATGATGAAAGCCGAGATTCTTCGGAATTCACGAGACCAATGCTCTTTCTATCAACTAGAGAAACCATTAACAAGAGAGAGACTGGGAGGACCAATCAAACAGCTATGGAAATGAGAAAATACAACCTGGCGTTGTTCGGAATAAGTGAAACCCATTAGACCCAAGCTAGACAGAAAAGATTAGATTCGGGAGAAATGCTAATGCGCACTCGTCATGAAGAAAAAACTTCTTACCCATAAAGAGTTCCACTGATGATATCAAAAGGAGCATGAAAAACACTCATAAAATAGAGATCTCATGGATCCAGGACCATGAATATTATCCAGTACTATTCGCCCACCAATGAGGAATATGATAAAGATCAGTTTAATGACAGGCTGCAATCAATCAGTGAAGTGCCCAAGAAAGGATCTCACCATCCTGATGAGAGATCTAAACGCCAAAGTCGGGATGGACAACACCAGATATGAGGATATCGTGAGACGAGATGGACTGGGAGACGGAAACGAAAACGGGGAGAGATTTGTAAACCTGTGTGCATTCAACAAATTGGTTATAGACGACACAGTATTACGCCACAGACGCATACACAAAGCTACATGGGTCTCATCGGATCACATTACAGAGAATCAGAAAGACCACATTTGTATCAATAAAGAATCCAGAAGGTAAATGTAGGACGTGAGAATCAGGAGATGAGCTGACAAAACTTGTGAGCACAACCTGGTGGTTGCCGAGATGAAACTGCATCGAAAGAAGCAATGGACAACTGGAGAAACAGCAGTACAAAGGTTCAATACAGCCTCCCTTCCAGATACTAACAAACTCAACGAATTCAAGATAACTCTCAACAACAGGTCCCAAGCCTAACAACATCTACTCAAGGAAGATAAAACTACAATGTAAAACAACTGGAAAAGGATCAAAGAAGAAGTAACTTCGACATGCCAGGAGGTGCTGGGCCGCAAGAAGCATCATCATAAGGAATGACTCTATGTCAATACCATGGATAAGATTCAAGAAAGGAGAGCAGTTAATAAAATCTGAACAAGAACAGAGAAAGTCAAGGAACAAGCTGAATACACAGAAGCAAACAAGCAAGTAAAGAAGTGCATTAGATCCGACAAGCAGAAATACGTGGGATGCCTAGCAACCAGAGAGGAAAAGGATGCAAAAGAAGGAAATATGAGACAGCAATATGACACAATCAGGAAACTGGAATGGAAATATAGTGAAACAGAGACACCGATCAAGGACAAAAAACGCAAGCTAATCACCGAGATTCAAGAACAGATGACTAGAACAATTTGAGGAACTCTTGAATGGAACAGCTCCATTCAATTCAACGCCCATTCAAGCAGCATACATAGACCATCCTATAGATGTAACTCCACCAACGATCGAAAGAATCTGGATGGTCATCAGACAAATCAAGAGTGGGAAAGCAGCAGCACCTGACAATATACCAGCTGAAGCACTAAAGTCAGGCATAGAAGTAACTGCAAAGATGTTCCACGTTCTATTCAGGAAGATTTGGGAGAAAGAACAAGTGCCAACGGACTGGAAAGAAGGACACCTTATCAAGATACGAAAGAAAGGAGATCTGAGAAAGTGTCAGAACTACAGAGACATCGCACTAATATCAGTACCAGGAAAAGTTTTCAACAGAGTGTTGCTGAACCGGATGAAAGACTCAGTAAACGCCCAACCTCGAGATCAACAGGACGGACTCCGTAAGCACTGGTCGTGCACAGATCAAATCGCGACACTACAGATCATCGCTGAACAATCTATTGAACAGAACTCGTCAATATGCATCAACCTCCCTGACTATGAGAAGGCGTTTGACAGAGTGGATAGGAAAACCTTCTTTGACACTATGGTGTACCTGAGAAGACCGTCAGCACCATCTGGAATTCATACGACGGACTACAACACTTTGAGGAACTCTTGAATGAAACAGCTCCATTCAATCCAACGCCCATTGAAGCAGCACACACAGACCATCCTATAGATGTAACTCCACCAACGATCGAATGAATCTGGATGGTCAACGGACAGACACATTCCAAGTAAAGACCGCAGTCACACAAGGCTGCTTACTCCTGTCTTTTCTCGTTCTTCCAGTGTTCTCTTGGATTATAAAGCCCTCCACATATGAAGAGAAGCACGGAATAAAATGGACAGTACGGATGCGGCTAGACGATTTGGACTTCGCAGATAATTTAGCTCACTTACCCCATACACCAACGAATTCAGGTGAAGACAGTCAGTGTAGCAGCAATCTTGGCAGCAGTAGGCCTCAAAATAAACGAGGGAAAAAGAATGATCCTGAAATGCAACACAGAGTGCACCAAACCAATCACACTTGATGGAGAAGCTCTGGAGGAGGTGGAAAGTCTCACGTATCTGGGCAACATCATCGATAAACAAGGATGATGATGTGAAGGTAAGGATTGGTAAAGCAAGGGCAGCATTCCTACAATTGGAAAATGTCTGAGACTCAAAACAACTTTTAACCAACATCAAAGTCAGAATCTCCAATGCGAACATCAAGACAGTTCTACTGTATACAGCTGAAACTTGGACAACTGCTACACCCATCATCAGAAAAGTACAAATATTTATAAACAATTATCTACGCAAGATACTCGATATCCGTTGGACGGATAGCATCATCAACAGCCGACTGTGGGAGAGAACAAACCAACTTTTAGCTGAAGAGGAAATTAGAAAAAGAGTCAGGAGATGGATAGGACATATATCGAGGGAATCATCAGACTGCATAACGAGGCAAGCACTAACATGGAATCCTGAAGGGATGATGAAAAGAGGGAGGCCAAAGAACACACTGCTCCGAGAATTGGAAGCAGGCATGGAAAGGATGAATAGTAACCGTAAAGGATTGCCCAGAACAGAGTTGGATGGAGAATGCTGGTGGGCGGCCAATGCTCTAACGATGGTTAACAGGATTAATTAATAGATTGGTTTTTTAGAATGGAAAACCTAATGATTTACACGTCCCAATCTTATTCTATAGATTATGACATATACCAAATTATTTTGTAGTTCAAAGTTTTTCTCAGAAAATAAAAACGTCAATTTACAACTGCATAGTTCAACTGTTTTTATTGATTTAGAGAAAGATCGGAAGTGGTTTTTTTATCAGAGTAAGATCATCATAGTTTTAGTCAATATATGCCTATAACCTCAATCAATCAGTTAAAGACTAGTCAATTATAGGGACATACGTCATCGTGAACAAGATGATCTCGTTGCAATAATCAGTTGAAAACTATAGAACCATCAAACTGAAGATGTTCCTACATTTAAAAGAATTCTAATCAAAAATAATACAAATTGCTTTGCAACGTTAATATGAAACTGCATTGTTACCAAGAGAACTTACAATATTTTAGCTAAATACCTCCTAATGCATTAAACATAAACCATATAACATAGAAAAGTACTGATTGTCATCGGCTACGACAGCCCTGTAATAAACTTAGAAATAACTAGGTATTGTAATCTGAATACTACAGCGAAAAAGACCCAAAAATATATATGATGATAACAGATCATTATATGATTGAAATATAATTTTTAGAAAATGAAAGGCATACTTCCAATACACGCGAAAATAATTTATTTATACTGATTCTGAGAATACAATGAAATAAATGCACACTAACTAACATCCATTTCAGGATCATCTTTAGTTTGAAATAGAAAATCCCAAAGAGCCATATCAATGTGATCAGGTATTCGATAATCATCAGGATTGTTCACATTGACAGAACAGTATTCCAATGATTGATTTGGAAGGGATATAGATCCTTGCTTAGGTTGCAAATACCGACCAACAGGATTAGATACTAGTGTCTCATCAAGTACCGTATGTAATAAGGGAGCCAACTCGGGGCCTAGATCATTCAGACCATTCCGTAGATTGTCCATGAGATTAAAACTATTAGAAGTTGAAACTGGTGTACCAGGGACAATAAGATCATTAGCTGCTATCCTGAGTTGTTCGTCTGCTCGTGTTAAATACTGTTCAGCCTTTTCGACAGTTTCTGCTCCTATGTTAACCTGAAAGTAGATGAAATCCCTGTATAAGCATTACGATACATTGTATCTGTGTATATTCATTTCGAGTTGCTAGTCGAGATAAGTCTAAGTTGGATTTCGATGATTGACTAGTAAAAAATGATTGGGTTTATGCTAAATAATATTCGGATCAGAACGATTTGATCAATCTTTCACAAATTAAAATCGTTTCATGTGCTAATTTTCTCTTTTATTCGTGTGATAAGTATTGTGACAACTTTAGCCGATGTGTATTTGTGCCATAACATACTTTGATGACAACTAACTGGAAAGTATCTTATAAGACGAATAACTGCCTGAGGATGACTAAATTTAATTAGTCATTAAACTTCAAGTGAAGAAACTAAATATAACTCAGATATATTGTAAAGGTATGTATGCTAAGCCAAGTCATACTATTATGTAACGGCTAGTGATATTACCCGACCATACGAACTGCGATATGTGTCTCATGTTCTTAACCTATGACCGACTAGTTGAGAAACAAGTATTTAAAGTAGAAGGGTGCAACCTTAGTGCGTTATGAAGGATGATCAAGAATTTTGCTGTATATTGGTTGCTAAAATGATGAGTAGGAAACTAAATGGCATGATGTAATGTGGTCGAAATACAGCTGTTCACAACGATTTATTGAAAAATGGTCCCGAATGAGCTGATATCAAAAGATAACACACCGAGTAAGTAAAGTAGTTTCTCGACAATAAAATAATACGATTGTATATAAAATAAGCGACTGTTGGATATTTTATAGATTACGCACGTAGAAATGATACTAGGGCCTGACTACTAGGTTTAATTGTTGCCCATTAGATCAAAATGAATCCTAAGTAATTAGAATGAAGTTAACATAAGTGATCTAATAATTAACTATTTACTAAATAAACTTTAGATCTGAGTGACTTAGATAACTAACTGTTACACAAGTATAATGCTGACAGTCCAGTGACGACAATTATACGACAAACAATTTGAAACCAAACTTTTTCACGAGTACAGCGGTACCATAAATATAGTACAAACTTCCCTCACAATAAAGATCCAGTAACCTGTCGTTGAGTTTTGAGTTCATGCAATACTGAAATAATTCAAACTCATGCGTCGGAAATAATAAACCATTTAGTTATTATCTTTCAAGCCGGAGTTAATTTACTTAAGGACTTGTCTTTATAGTATGATTTCTTAATTACTATACTTATTAACTAGACTATATTTAGCGCAAGTAAATTATTATGAATTATGGAAGTAGTTTTGTTTATTCAGAGTGTAGCGTTGCAACATGTATGGATGTGAAATGTTTTTCATAAACTCTTTATGCAACTATGAAATAAAATAAATGATTGAAATAATTAATAACCTGATATTTAAGAATTTCTCGAAGTAAATCTCTGGCTTGGTGTTGTCGGTACTCATTAACAAGATGATGCATATTAATGAATAGAATGGCCAAATGATCAAGCTTTTCTGCTCGTTTACATGAACTAGGATCACGAGTGATGATGTCCAACAAATCCAAATAGTTAGCCAATATTGAAAAATTAATTTTTCTTAACTCCCGCTTACGATTATACGTCTGATAGTAAATGAAAACAAAGAAATATGAAAGTGTTTTTATTGAAACAATTGGAACGCTAAAATATGATCCTGAGAGTGAAGTATCAACAATAAGTACTCAACTAAGGAAATATATCGAACCCTATAAATAGTTAAAGAGGTTATGACAGATAAAAATAAATTAACTTATGAACCAAGTAGATGGGTATAAGACGCAATCTAAGTATGAAGGGTAATGATACAAACCGGAGTAGGTGGAGCGGCGTTTAAATCTGAAACTTAGAGGTTGGAAGTCGAACGTCTTTATCGCTAAGCCACAAGAACACTAGATTGTTTTTGGTTTCTCCTCACTTCACTTTTATATAAACACTCAGCCTGGTTAAATAATACCCTTATATATTGAAAATTTACCTTCGAATACAGAATAAATTACATATTAGGTTTAAATTTCGATCCCTTCCCCCCGTCAATTAAAATGCACAATAATGAAAAACAAAAAAGCTTGTTTTGTTGTATTGTTTTTTTAATATGATATAATCGTGAGACACATTAATTGTCATTCTTGACAGTATATAGGAAGAGTCTAATTTCAAAAAACCTTTCATTAAGTCAATTTAAAACAGTGAATAGTTTGACTCTAGAGTTATACAGAACTAAACAACGAAATTGAAAAGTGATTTACTTTAGAGATACGAAATGCTTGGATTAAAATGCCTAGTACTTCTGACAGTCCTAGGAATGAAGGTATTGTCACACAGTACATAGATCACCTTAATCTATTTCCGGAGTTCTGCTGATTGGTGGGATTATTAACATCTTTTAGTATTTCGTGTCACAACAAAAAAGCTTGTTATTTTCTGTACTATCTGTACTGGTAAGGGGTAATACTATTTGTAGTATGAGGATTTTAGACTTCAGAAGCAACAAGTACACCAGTATGTATAATTCAAGTTAAAAAGGATTTTTAATCTTACATAAAATCTACATTTGATGGTTTGAAATTCAACATAAGAATATGTCATTAAATATTTATTCAGAAAAAAGTTCTGCACAACAAAAGAAGTTAGACTATATGAAAGAATAATAGGTAATTACATTTTAAGTTATTTTTAAAGAATTATTAATTATAGTTTACTTTTTATTTGTTTGAACACATAGATATTGGTACAAAGGGGCAACAAACACATATACGCGATACAAATCTCATTTGATATGTGTGAGGGCTGTGATATTGCCCGGGTGTCCAGACCGAAGCAGGTGGTTTCCTTCGGGGGCCACACCCGGAGCCTTCGACCTGAAGGTCTGATCCACAAGGCAGTGGAGCAACGTAAGGAGATGCAGTCCCATGGTAGCAGGTGACCAACGATTGGTTCATACGCCATTTGTTCCCTCAGGATACTGGAGCCCATGTGCACCATTGGTTTGGAATCAGGGTTTTCCAACTCCCCTAGGTGAACTCTCCGTGTCCACCAACCCAGTTAAAGCGCCGGACATTCTCTTTTTGTCCTCTCAATTTCGTAAACACCCCCACTACGAGAAGATAGTGAGTAGGACTTCCTTGATAGAGGCTACATACGCGTGACCATGTGAGAGCGTTCCTATGGACTACTGGAAACTCACAAGCTTGATATTCCTTTAAGACCCATGATGGATTTCACAAATGCTCCCATATGTGCTTTATCTTGTTATTTAAGCAATATACTGAAGCCACCTTAATACAACCTAATTAATGTCATAAAGGAGTAATATGAATTCAAATCAAAGACCTCGGAATTATCCATCAACAAGAACTAAACAATCCCAAACTATGATGCATCTTTATAAACTAGCATTCCAACTGATAAATGTCTAGGCTTCGTTAATGGTTTACTAAAGAATGATCATACTCTATCTACCAAATGCCTATTAAGCATTAATTCAGTCATGAAATCCTTCAAACTATGCTTGAACTTAGCACTATTCACTTTTAGAGGGACTTTATATTGACAAATGAATGGAGTAACCATGGGATCTTCAGTAACTCTGATTGTTGATAGTTTAATAATGCCCCATATTGAGTCACTTATTTTTGTCAGTACCATCAGACAACGCATCTGTCTCAGATATGCAGACGACAAATTCTTCATTATTAAAAAAACTCTCCCTAGAAGTTTCTTCATACAGATGAACACGTTCTCAGAACACATCATATTCACTTTCGAAAGGAAAGATGAACATAATGAACTACCATTCTTAGACTGTTTAGTTAAAAGGAATTCTAGCCGTATACCGAAAGCCGACACATTTAAATTGGTATATTGATTTTAACTCTGCACATCGATTCAGTGCGAAAATTTCCCTAAACCAGAATCTTTTCAGAAGAGTAACCAAGATTATTACTTCAGAAAACAGGCTAAGAGAGGATATATAATAAACATCCTACGATTTATTAACTTTCCTAACAATATTATAAAAACATGTTCGAACAAAACTATCCTTCTATAAATAACAATTCTAGTGGTAAATGTTGAATCGGTACTGTGGTTTTATCTTACCGCCAAGGTACGACATACGAATTACAACGGATCTTGGAAACTTACAAAATTAAAGCTTTCTATAAGACAAATAAAAGATAAGATCCCGTTTACATCTACATAGAAATTGTCTGCAGACTAGGTTGTGTCTATTTTGATGCGTTTTACATTGGACTATTCCCATGAGATCTCGACGCATGCCAAGAAACACGTAAGTTACACACATAGGCCTAATAATCTTATAGAATTGGAAAATCTACAAGTTAAGCTAGATCAGCAATAGCAGTATATGCTATTTCCAATGACCACCAAATTGATATTAAAAATATCAAAATATTTCAGAAAGGTTTTCCCAACTATAAAGAAAGGGGAGTAGCCGAAGCGTTTCGAATAATGCCAAATCCCTCTGCCCTCAATAGGAAAGAAGACCTTACTATTCATCCAACAACCAGATTTGACGCTATTTATTTACCTCACAATCTGCACACATTCAGTTTCAATTCTACTACTTCGTATTAGAAATGTATACATTTTCTATACCCACCTGACACAAATTAATAGTCACATGTCATATAAATTCACCTTAAGCAAAAACAACTTAATATTGACATGTTCAGACTCATTAATATTTTGATTGTACTAAAAATATTCTGCAATGTTTCCTCTGTGTTATTTAAACTTGTGTTGATTTTATCTCAGTTATTTATTTGCTCAGAAGAAGTGACGTATATTAAGTCACGAAACGTCAGAAATACAATTTCTACTCATTGGGATATGACAAAAATATATTACTAACATTTTACCCAGAGTTCAGCTTCTTTAGAACTATTAAGTCCAACATGGGCATGGATACCTATTAATTTTAACTTTTGTTCTTTAACTGGTCTCCGTAATTAAGAAGCATTTTGATCTAATAATACTTAGTGACCTCCATCTAACCCTTCTAATTTAATAGAAATATATCTTCAGGACCACGATTCGTAGTATTACTACTACATTTTCAACTTTTTTTTAGGACTAAAATAGTTAGATCTGTTGGTGAACTAACCTGTGGATAAACTCGACGAACACCTTGTGATTCCAGAGATCGGAGGATGGCATCTTCAGAATTGTAAAAATTCCCGAACATTCTGTAAGCAGTTGAACCAGGAGGGGTAGGTGGGCGTGGAGGGGTCTCGGTACTGAAGAGTTTATTTATCAGTTGCCAAGGTGGTGCTGGGAACAAACTGACATGAGAAGTCAAGTTGGCTTTTGATTTCTCGCTTCCCGACATCTTAGACAGTAACAACAAAAATCAAAGTCTTATGCCGGCTTCTCGTGCACGGCTTTGAACACAACGTTTTAATATTTGAAATTCTTTTTCGCAAGAATTGTGCTTAACATCTTTTAATGACAAAACACATTTCGCATACACTGAAGATTCAAGAATGCATTGTGACAGTAAGGCAGGGTAGCGTAGAAGTCTTGTCTTACCGTCACGAACAACAGGCATTACCAACCCCCAACAGTTGCGTTTACTGGATTAATTAAAAATATAAACAAGGTTAATTCAGATATGAAACACTTGAATAGGGATGAAATAGAGTGAAGTTTTTTATAAACAGGATTTATTATTTATTTAAACACAAACATTGGTACAAGGAAGCAATGAATATATATGCACCACACAAATCATTCGATCTGTGTGATGGTTGGAATGCTGCCCAGGTGCCCAAACCGAAGCAGGTGGTTTTCTTAGAGGGCCACTCATCGGTAACCAAATAGACGTATATGTTCAACTTGTAGTTGTATATATAGGAAATCAAGACACAGTATCCAGATTCCTAACCAGAAATAGATAGACTAGAATTCTCAAATGTGATAAGATGGCTCAGCAGAATGAGTTAACTACCTCACAAACACTAACATATAAAAGGAAACTGTAGTGTAAAGCACTGGGAACAATGTAGTCTCTTTGTATCACAAGTTGTTCAGTGGAAGAAATATGCTCACAGAGAAACTGTATACATATGAGTCTCACCCAGTCTTTGTAGGCTTTGAGATAGTACATTCGTTGAGAGTTATTGAGTCTTTAACCTCAAACCAAGGGGAGATACGAATTAACAATTAGTATTTATAAAACTTAATGCTCAAAATGGTGATAGTTACGTGATCTTCTCAAGTCAAACATCAAAAAATGAGGACTATGAAAGTTGTAATGAACAGTTGAACCAAGGGGTATGATGATATGTATAACTATGAATATTTATTCATTTCGAAAATGGAGAGCTCGGAAATACGTACACTTAGAGTTGTACAGAAAGTCTATATGTGTTATGCATATCGTAGTTTCTCTTTGCCTACATCAAAACTTTCTTTATTACAGATCAGCTACATTTCTCACATTAATATTCGACTGGAAGATTATGAACTTTGGATCACTAATATTATTAGAGGTAAGTAGTTGATGGTTATTGGTAGGAAATCTTGGACTTGTGTTTTGTACCAGTCGGAACTTGTTAGCAACATCCAGGAGCTCCTGTCGATAATATGAAACCACGAGACACCAAACATAATCCACTTTGATGTGGATTACCGTTGATCATACTGTAACTTGATCGATAGAACCCGGTCAACACTAACGACTTGACAAATAGGACTTTATTACTCGGTGATCAATTACTGTAAAACAACCTTCGAGATGGCCCCCAAATGCCCTAGTACGGACGAGGGTAAGGAGAGTCCGTTTTCCCTCTCGAAATGCTCTCACATGGCCGCGCGTATGTAGCCTCTATCAGGGAAGTCCTACTCACTATCTTCTCGTAGTGGGGGTGTTTACGAAATTGAGAGGACAAAAAGAGAATGTCCGGCGCTTTAACTGGGTTGGTGGACACGGAGAGTTCACCTAGGGGAGTTGGAAAACCCTGATTCCAAACCAATGGTGCACATGGGCTCCAGTATCCTGAGGGAACAAATGGCGTATGAACCAATCGTTGGTCACCTGCTACCATGGGACTGCATCTCCTTACGTTGCTCCACTGCCTTGTGGATCAGACCTTCAGGTCGAAGGCTCCGGGTGTGGCCCCCGAAGAAAACCACCTGCTTCGGTCTGGACACCCGGGCAATATCACAGCCCTCACACATATCAAATGAGATTTGTATCGCGTATATGTGTTTGTTGCCCCTTTGTACCAATATCTGTGTGTTCAAATAATTAAAAATAAATAACCTTCGAGATGTGAAACAAACTTGTGATGTTGGTTAGAACAATACATTTAATGAGAGTTCTTTCTATTCTTATGAAAATAATAGATCAGGGAGTATGTTTAAGATTTTTATGCTACCTATCATACACTAAGTTTGAATGCCCGTACCGTGTTTTAGTAACCAACTGAGCCACATAACTTCCTAAATTTTATATTGACAGATTTGCTGGAATTTAGTTGTAGTAAGTTGATAAAACTGACTTTAAAGAATATTTATCTAATCAACTTCGAGTCAAACTTCTAGCAACAAAGGCTAGTAACATTGTTCGGCTACCCAAACTCAAGTAAATGGTCAGACCTAAGCACCGTAGTTGTAGTTTGAGTGAGCCCAGGATTGTTTACAGGTGGCAAGTAACTTCGCATAGGACGTTATCTGATGCAAACAACAGTCTAATATGGAAATGTCAGTCTTTGTATACAAAATTATTGAGATGGCCTTTAAGCTATTGTTTATAGTTTTAACTCATAGTAGTATTTATCGATTTTTGTCATTGTAAAGACTGGTACTAACAAGTGCTATTTTATTGGTAAAGGTGAATATCTCAAAAGAATGTTAATAAAAATAGGCTTTAGGTAGTTGGAACTATTTTCTGTTGGTCGTCAGTGCATAAATCAGATGCAAATTCACAGAGAAGTGGAATGATCATGCACTCAATTACCTCATTACCATTAGTTAAACTAAGTACAGTTCCAGAACTGTCCCGAAGTATTATGTAGTACCTAATATGCGGGAAATACATTTTGAGCTGTAGATACTTCGGCAGGTTAGTTAAAAATTTAAATTGATAGCACTCTAGGGCATTTTTACACGATCATTCTACAAAACATATGTGAGTTTCAGGTTACTACATGACCATAAATACTATACATAAGTATTCTCCATCAGAAATAAACATTTGGAGTCTATTTAAAAGTCTAGAATTGGTGGTTAAAACACCCAAATCTGAGAGCAGACATCAAGTCTGAGAGTTTGAATCGATTTACATTTTAGCAAAACAGTAAGAAAAATGAACATGTTACTTAACTGTTCAACCGGAACTACAAGAATTGATGATAATGCTAGCTCTCAACCTCGTGAACTGAAGAGCACAAACATTAATTATTCATTAATGCTCAGAAACACACGAAACATGCATACCAGTAGGTCTTAAATGGCCTTAAATAAATAATCAAAGGAAACAGTACCCGTTAAACTGGGTCATTTACTTAAACAGGCAGACCTGTGACTGGTAATTTCTTTGGGTAGTCAGATTCTCAAAGCATGTAGTGTCCAAGCTTCAGTGGATAAGTCATATAAGTCATAAACTTTGGGTCAGGAAGAAACAAATATGCAACTCAGTACTTATCACATTGTTAGTGCAGTTAAGTCTATTGATGTCACGGACTGTATACGTGTATTGATTTGCTGATTAATTCATATTAACTACTGCTTACGACAACGCATTAAAACTTGGCTTTACCAGATAAGTTATGTATATACACGTCAGTGTATTTTGATATGGCTTTTTATCTGCTGTAAATTGATTTTGTAGGGTTAATAAATCCTCATTTGCAGTCTTAACTGCTTCCTTACATCAGGGCACATTAGTCTCTGTTTAGTTAGCCATACAGGGGCATCTAGCCAGTTTTATTCTCTAACGGGATCTATGATGTAAATTCAAGAGCACTTTTAAGGTAATTATATTTCTCTTTAGTTCATGGTTAACGAAGCAAAGTGAGTAACGTTTTAAACGCCAGAAAAAATAAGATAACCGCTTACTCATACTAGATATAAGAAGTTTCAAGTTTGATATTATGAGATTAGGAACGTGTGAACAGTTAATACCGAGGGCTCGAATATCATTCTAAAGGCAACTAGTTTGGTATTTTCAAAACTTTCCTGGTAAAATATAGCATCAGAAAATACTTAGAATGGGGGTAGCCCGTCGCTCTTAACTTAGGAAGAACCACTAGAGATTATAAGTGGCGTCCCCAGGGCCAACTGTTATTTTTTCTACCAATATCTCCAGACAATGGGATCGGAACTTCAACCAACAATTTTGAGCGTTCTTGTGCACAAAAGCGTTTACTGATTCATTTTATGACCACTCAAAAATCCCAACCTGGAGTGTTGATTCATTTACTTTACCATTATTTCTGAATACATTCAGGGACAAACCTTATTTCAACTGCAATATAATCCCCACTCAACATGGTTTACACGTGCGTATTAAGAATAAATCAAATCAGAAGCCGATGCTAGGTATGCATGAAAAGTCGATTCTGAACTATAATAAAACCAAAGAGAGGTAACTGTGAAGTATTAATTGCCCAAGGTTCTTGGTCTTTTGGTTATTTTTTGAAAGACTTGCTTATTGCGAGAGAGGATTGGACAGCAGCCCTATATAACGGTCCATCTGCCGATGTGATATTCATAGATTTTAGCAAAGCATTTGACAAGGTTTCCCACGTAGGTCTTACGCAGAAGCTCACGAGCTTCGGAATAATAAGTACTGTATATGAGTGGATAAGAAACTTCTTATGTGACCGCAGACAGAGAGTGAGGGTCAACGGAACGCTATCCGATTGGAAGCCGAACAAAAATGGTGTACCCCAAGGCACCATCTTAGGCCCTCTGCTCTTCCTTCTCCACATCAATGAGTTACCGCTGTTGCTTAGGTCGTCGACATTATTGTTTGCGGATGATGTAAAAATCTGGAGAACAATAAAAAGTGCGGCTGATCATCTGGAGCTTTAAGCTGACTTAGACGATTTAGTTAGATGGGCTCGAGAGTGGGGCTTAGAAATCAATGCTAGGAAGAGTGCCAATGCACATCGGCCACGGTAATAGTTACCGTTATACTATTGAGGGTAAACCTCTTCCATGTGCTCAAGAACATAAAAACTTAGGAGTAGTAATAAGTCATGATTTAAAAACAACCACGCATTGCAAAGCAGCCGCTATCAAAGGTTTTCGTGCGTTATGGTCACTTTGCCGAGCGTTCAAATCTTTTGACGAGGAAATGTTTCGAATTTTATATCCCATATATGTAAGACCACATTTAGAGTACTGTATCCAAGCAGCTAGCCCATGTCTGGTAAAGGATACTAACTCCCTTGAGCGTGTCCGGCGTGTGGGAACGAAATTAGTGAAGGGTCTTTTTAGACTCGAACTGATGTACGTACGTACGAAGTTCTACGTTGTTACTGACTGACTAACTCCCTTACGATGAGCGTTTAAAACGCCTAAACCTTTTCCCCTTGTCGTATCGTAGGACACGAGGTGACCTTATACTGGCATCTCGTATCTTTAATTATGATTTGGGTGTTAGTATGTCTTATCTTTTTGCGCCCTCCAGCACTAATAATCTCCGAGGTCATAGCAAGAAAGTTCATAAATCACGATCTAATAAACTTAAAGTGGGGTCCCGTTTTCCTCATCGAGTAGTCAATGATTGGAACGCCTTACCCGAACAAGTGGTATCAGCCCCATCAGTGAATATTTTCAAGGAGAAGCTGAACCTTCACTGGAAAGCAATGTGTCAGGATTAATACAAGTTCACCAACCTACTATCCTTATCACTGAAGACTGAAAAACGTTTAAGGCATTGATCAAGATATTTTCGGCGAGATTACTGAGTTGTACAGAATAATACAAGAGATTCAACCAGAATGACCGAGTCTCAAATATGAAGTTTACAGGTTTAAAATTAGGAGCAAATGACGAAACGAATTTTAAGATGTGTTAATGAAGAAAGATCGGAACGTTCAAATCTCTTCTCGATCTGTTTATACGTTAAGTATTTGTGAGCGACATTATGATTTTGGTCCTAACACTAAAACATAACGTAGCAAAAGCCTACCCAGTTCTTTACGGGTATATGCAGTATGACTAGCCTTCAGAGATCAAACCTCCCTCTACAATATTCAAATGGTTCAAATGGTTGTGGACGGAATAGGAGGAGCTTTCGCTTAACGGGCTTCCATGTCTAGTAGCAGTGGATCACCAATACCTCCAGGCAGGAACCTAGGTATATTAAGGATAACAGATGGATAAAGGAAATTGGTAAATCATAATAAGATGTTATCCCTAGTCCTTAAGAACAGGTCAAGTGGCTTCTTAAAGGACTCTTGGGGAGTTACTTGGACTAGCTCAGTCGGCAGAGAATTCCAGAATTTGACAATTCTTAAGGGATAGAAGCTGTGTCTACACTCCATTCTGCTATGTTGTGTTTCCAGTTACTGCGTGTTACCCCTAAGGTTTGTGTTGGAGCTAAACTTAAGTAGATGTTTAAGGGAATGTCAAGTGTAAAGGATACTACAAGCCATTAGAGGGTCATCTCTAAGACGCTTATACTCTAATGGGTAAAGGTTGAGTGATTGGAGGCGTTGTTCATAAGGCTTGAATTTGAGTCCCCGAACTGATTTCGTGGCTCGTTGTTGGATACGTTCCAGAGTGTCCTTATCATTTTGGAGTAAGAGAGGAAGTGTTGTGTTTCCGTACTCTAAATGGAGACGAATAAAACTGATGAAGATAATACGGAAAGTTCCTCTGTCAAACTGGCCAAAAATGCGCTTCAATGCTACTGCGGTGCATGCTACTTATATCGATGTAAGTAGTATATGACGCGAGTTAAAAATGCAGTGTCTAGCAGCAGAAGATGGGTGAAGATCAAGAAAGGAGGAGCGTCAACACAATGCAATTTGTAAGAAATCTCATGAACAATGAAATGTGAGACAATGGTTTGATGTTTGCAACAGGAACAGTCCAGGTTGTTATGATGCATTGATATTTTGCAAATTAACGATTTACCATATGGTTTTTCTATTTTACCAAGTAACTCTGTAATTTTGTGCTAAATACAATTCGGCTGTCCTCACCCGTGTTCTTCTTCACTACACTACCAGTGCAAGGTTTGCTCGAAAGACATTTTTGTCACAGTTAGCGTAAGGCCTCAAATCATAGGGTGTCAGGACTCGTAAATCTTCTTCGACTTGAGATACTTCTAGGGAGGAGTTTCTTAAGTTGTAACTGTAATCTGCAACATGTGTCAGATGGAGTTGTTTACATTTTGAAATGTTGAAAGTAAATCCGTTTTCATCTGCCCAACTTTGAAGTCGAGTCAAATCCTCCTGAAGTGCCAGTATATCCTCTTGGTTGCGTATCGCTTCCCTAAGTTTCGCTCAATCGGCAGAAAGTAATACGTCGAACGATACCTGTTGTGGAAGATCGTTCATATAAATCAATCTGTACCATCTACGGACGAGACGACAATCTCACGTCCAGATAAGCAGACCACGCCGCCCTTGACTTCGGATGAGATTGCAGGCTCACGAAGTACAAACGAGACTAGCGTCTCGCGTTCCAGTCGCCGAATACGCTTACCCGTACGCTTTCGGGACTAACCGCACAATCAACAAAGGATACTGTATAGGACTCAATTCATATACCACATGCATGCTTCACCTTTTCCCTTTTTCTCTGATTTTTGTTTCTATTCTGAGCCCATGTCTCGGACCATCGCCCGTTTGGTACCGTCGACTTCAGTCGACCTTGACGAAAGCTGGCCTGATCACCGACGCTCTTGTCAACGCACTCAGTCAATATTCTGGCTTCGAATCTGTCTGGCATATGTTTAGTCTCGCAATCGGTTGTTATTGTCGCTTCTGGTTTATTCGCTCAATGAGGTTCCGTCTTACGTCTGCAGCGTTTTCTGGTCCGCATTCCTACGAACGCAATCTTCGGATCCTGGATACAAAACACTCTGGCGTGGTATGCTAACTCGAGCAATAAATACGGCACGTTTCTCCTGGTACTGTTCTACGTAAAAAACATTCGGTGGCAACTCGAGAATCAACGATCGCTTCCTGTTCCGCCAACCCTTTCGTCACACAATCACATGTTTGCAGATCAGTCTCGTGAACGAAAGCGTTATGTATCGAATGTGTAAACCCTTTCTAGCGGGATGGCTCTTGTAGTAATCTACTTTTATCAAGAGAAAACGGTTGGTATAATGGAAACAATTATTGTTATAACCAGTTGTACCAGTGATTGTTTTACTGTACTTGTTTGTTTAACTGTACTAAAAACATTCATTCTTCCTTTGATTGTGACCTTGCACAAATTCGGTTGCGCTCAGTAAACCCACTTGCAACCTACCACGGTCTAGGTATTCTTTCGATACCACGAGATCACCAACAGATATACCTCGACTACAGCCATCAACTGCCTAATAATATTTGGCCCGCTGGGGATCTTATCGATTAATTGGCGCGTAGTCTTCCTGTAGTAGTGATCTTAGTCAACCGCTACTCGACGCCACACTACACTTCAATAATGTTAGCATTATATTTGTCATGATTGAAAAAGAGAATAATAATAATAGAATACTAATAAATCAGGTTCTGTGTAACTCAATTCGAGTTTAAAGAAGTAATAAACCACTTTTGGGTCATTGGCAAGAAGGAAATTTTTAACATACTGACAGAGGGAGCACAGATCATTGATAAAAAGGAGATAGAGTAATGGGCCGATCACACTTCCTTGTATAACCCCACTGATTACATTCACAGGTTTAGAGTAGCAAGATCCAAAGCGAACGATTTTGCTACGTTCTTCTAAAAAAAGATTTGAGCTAAGATTAAAGGGGATTCTGTATGCCAAATGAAGAGAGCTTTAGAAGAAGGAGTTTGTTTAAGACACTGTCGAAAGCCTTACTAAAACTGAAGTACAGAGTTATCACTGACTGACCAACATATCTTCTCCGGGTAATCTGATTCAAAAATTCCGAGTGCGATGTGAAGCATGAGCGCTTAGTCGTAAACCCGTGTTACGATGGGCTAATCAGACTTGTCGAAAGTAAAAATGTTAACAGCTGTTTGTGGATGATTTTTTCCATGGCTCTTGATAAGGCGAATGTCAAATTAATGAGCCTATAGTTAGCAATATCACTACGTGATCCGTTTTGAATCTAGGGGTGATAAGAGATGTTTTCCGTACAGATGGATAGGTCCCATATCCCATAGATAGGTATAGAAGTTTCAAACAAAATAGTGGGAATTCTCTACTTTCATATTTCACAATTGATGAAAGAATCCCATCAGGTCCACTATCATAAGGCTTTTTCAGAGCAGCTATGGCCTGCTTGATGTCGGAGGATATGAAATCAGTTTGGATAGATGTTTGGATATCAGCATTGGAAACGTATTGATAGAGTTTTCAGTTCCAGTTTTGAAGCATCGAGAGAATGCTGGCTGAATTGTTCGCAAATAATATCAAGGTGGTCAACAATGGTTCTGTTAACTATTAGAATTTAGTCGTGCCAAGAGATTTCGACTTTAAACGGGATTTACGGAGCCGAAGTATTGATATTCTGGGCTTTATTTCTATATTCATAAAGTTTTAGATGAAGCATTTCTGTCGATTAAGTCGTACTGTGCAAATATTTTACTATTTATATAAAATTTGACTTCAGAACGCTCAAAATATCAACTGTAATGGATATAGGTTGTGTAGCAAGAATGAATGCTTGACAACTCTGTTATCTGTAATGCCTTTGTAATCGAGGATCCGGACCTAGTCAAAATGGATAACAGGAATTAATGAGTTGGAAGAAATGTTTGGAAGGCAGCCGATATGTTAAGGAGAGTTAAATATGTGGGGGTTAATAAATCCCAAAAATCAATAGCTTTGGCAAGTCTTCAACAAATGATACTGACTGCACTGGTTTAAATGGACTCACCGAGCTGAAGATTCTTGGTCATGCATCCGCACCAGACCACGAGTGAGTATGCCATGCCTCCATCTGCAACTGCTAGCCAGTTTACATTGGTCACTTCTTGATTTATAGATATTTTATCAAATAAATCTTCAATCCTCTTCGCTTCTGTATTCTAATTTATTTATAGAAGGTGTTACTGGTTAAGTGTTGTCAAACTCGGAATACATATAGCATCTTTGATGGTAAGCTTGATGTGATCTGGTACCAGAGTCCGTAAACTGTGAATCTGTTTCTTTTCGGAACTTTATAGATCATATTTTTACTTTAATTTTTAGATATTGTGATATCTTTTCACATTTTTAGGGCGTATTTTTCTCTTTCATTTCTATACTTTGTGTTCATCATGAACGAACAAACTCTTAGATTCTTTAGATCAAAACCCTCATTCCAGCTAATGCCACTTTGGCCTGACAACATCGAAGCCTGTTTCTGCTACGCAGAAGCTGACTTCCACAAGCATTGTGTGACCGATTCACGTGCACAATTACTCGCAGTAGTGAAGGCACTACCGCGCGATTTCAACAGGTACGCCAGATCTATTAAGTTTACTGGTGATGTCTCGGTACCTAACGAAACCGAAAAAAGTCTACGATGAAAAGTTCCACCCGTCGTATTTGTTGTCTTTTCCGAGGAAAGTAAGGAATAAAAATATAGTTAATGTCGAAATGCGCGCACACTTACTTCAGCAAGCAAAACGTGTGTAAGAACCCGGTATTTACACGTTTATATACCGGGTGACAGCAAGAAATGGTACACGAAAATGGTCTGTCTTTAATTTTTTTATGAAGAAAATATACACATGTATAAGCATGTTTATGAGCTGACTTATTTTTAAATAAGGTGCACACATAAACACACTTGTGATTTTAACGCAGTAAGTAGTTAAAAACCAACCAGTTGACTGTGGAACACTGGAACGCAATAGAGAGGCTTGTAAAATAACTTATGTGCGGCGCATGACACCAACAGATGAGCCAGCAACAGTGCAAGTGAAAACGACGCACGCTCGGGAGGTTGGGAATTATAAGATCGACAACCGAAAATACTGTACTATTTATAAATCCAGAGTTTATTAGACAACTTGAGTGATTGAAAATGTATAGGTCGTAGACTTTGTTATATTTGCTGCGAAAGCGCACCAAAATATAATGTAACTTTGTGTCTATTTATTTTGAATAAAATATTTGGCTTGATTTCATAATGAAACAATTGGATATGAGGTCCAAGATAAGCAAACATCCCTTTCAGTAGATTATATCGTAGCTGTTTCGAATAGACGTACGATATAACTGAACCGGAGTAATTACAATTCGTTATCGAATTCAAGAACTTACAGCGTTTATTAGTGTTTATAGACTCTTCATACATTCAGGAAATACTTTTTTTAGTTGGTCGTAAGACAAAAGAATAGATGGTGAGGCGAACATATTTCACATAGTTAAAATCATTATTTCCTTTTTCATTGATCATCTTCATTAATATGATATCTTATGATTGTCGCTCTTGATAATGCGGACCTTCGTCATGGTCGCACTTTAGTTTGTCTATCTTATTATTTTCACAGATTGAAATCATGAGTCAGTTGAAGCTAGACCACCACTGAAAACCTGGAAGCACGTATGGGACTCCTCAGCAGTGCGCATCCACGATCCCGCACCACGCGGGGCTCGAACCCAGGACCTACTGGCTTCGCGCGCGAGCACTTAACCATTAGACCACTGAGCCGGCATCCAACGGTGTTAATGTCTAACTTCAACCAATCCACGAAGTTAGGCCACCATATACCGTTGTCTTCAGTGAGCTGATATCTCCCAACAGACCTGGTTGTACTCCACTGCTGAGGAGTCCCATACTAGGACGAAACGGCCGTCCAGTGCTTCCAGGTTTTCAATGGTGGTCTAGCTTCAACTGACTCATGATTTCAATCTGTGAAAATTTCTAAAAATCTCCACAAACCCCTTCTGATATCTTATTATTCTCTTCTCATGTAGGAGTGTGCCTTTTTATAAGCTCACACTTTTGACTTGTGAATTTGATGTTCGGCCTTTCTTCGCTTTAATTTTAATGGATATTACGTGATGTAGATTTTCAAGTGTATTTGGAATGTCCAATTGCGAGTCGTTTCGGGTTGGCCATCGAATATCAGCAAAGTATCAATAGTGGTTGTTATTTATGGAGGATCGCATCTCGGTTGTGTGAACTGTGCTGATCGACTGTGCGATAAAAAGTTCGCAGTAAAAGAAATTGAAATCTAAGTAATCTGATTTTAGATAGTCGATTCCGATGTTTCCCACAGCTGCGTTTGTTATTGCAGATGGTGACCGAAATCTGATATTAGTACATTTTGTGCTAAGTACTAAACACCTAACTGACAACTTGAGCAAGAACACAAGAGTGGACGAGGAAGTACATATATATATATATATATATATATATAAATCTACCACTCAGAAGACAAATCGATTTCTCGGCTAATGAAATGGACCTGATGTTCGAGTGATTTGCGATGGCAAACAATTAACCTTTTTATTTGGCTACTTCTGATTAGTTTGATTTTTCACCGTCCTAATCAAGGGTATTACGACTGCAGTGCCAATACTCGTTTGAATGAAGAACTAACGAACTGAAATTTATTCGATTAGGCAAGACTAGGTTCTTCTGTGTATCGTACAGAGCAATTTTGAGTGACTCGCATTGAATCATATAAAAACACGAATTCTGTGTTCAGTCTAAGTCGTTCGAATTTGAGTAAGAGAATAAATTATATCAAAAGTACGAAATTCCTCAAACGGTACAGCCTATGCTATAAGGTCAAGGGTTACTGTAACACAAACTAACATTCGAAACAACAAAAGGAATAGTTAATAAAAAGGGGTTTGATGCCTGAGAACCCATAACACTATTCATAACAAGATTGGATCAGATATCTATCTGTAAGGAATTTAGCAATCTTTCCAGGCATACAGTCAAAGGTTAGTAGCCATACACCGAACCACGTCGTGACCTTGAGCCCAGTCAAATAGTACCTTATTGTCAATAGTCTGGCAACATGCAACGGAAAAATTAGGTGAAAAAGTTAAGTATTTGGTCGAAGTCGCATAATAAGAGCTCAGACGATGAAGACTATAAAAGAAACCTGAATAAGGGTTAAAGTACACGGCAGAAAGAAGAAACAACTAAATGACAAGGCTGTCTAACGAAATGCTGTCAATAGTCCTGCCAAATCAAGATGAAAATGTTCGAAACGAGCGTCAAAAGTTGAGAATCAGCCTACGGACAGTTTATTGTCTATTTGCCCCTTATTATCTGAAGCTTACACGAGAGCATGTCCACCCCTTCAAGTCTTTATTCATACCAGGATTGCGAAATCGTTCTGCTCTGGGCCTGACGGTTGCTCGAACACCATGATGTGACAGTTTGTGCAACTTATTAAGGGCACTATGATGACACGTATCAGTACGATTGAGCTGTGGATTACCAACGTAGATGATCTGCGTCGAATGACTGGAGGCCTACTCGAGTTAGACGGGAATGCTGTGAAGAAACGGTCAACTTCGAAGTTACACTTTGCGGTCAGCACCTAACATGGATTATCCTTTCGTCGTATCATGGTACCATGGCTACTTTGAACGTCATATGACACAAAGGTACAATGAAGAGATTGAGATGACCACCGTATGGACCAGTCCTCGGTGTGCGATTAAATGATGCGCATTGGTTGTCTTTGGAATTGACAAGGACCGGTGAATTGTTCAACATTCAGTGACCCGACTGCCGGATATATTGGCTATGGCACAATGACATTTCACTGATCCTACAGGACCATCCCTATCTGTAGATGTGTCACATAGTAGTTTCCTAAGCTGTTTCAATACGTTTGATTTGCAGTTTCAGGGTTGTTGAAGATAACTCGTCCTGAAGATCAGTGTCTTCTTTTTGAATTTGAGCGAGTTTAAGAAGATCAGTTCCTTGAAAAACTGTTAAAAGAAGTTACACGGGGCAAGGTTTATAAAACTACATTTTTCGTGTTGCGGAGATATAAGGTATTCCTCATGAAAGTACAGAGTGGACCTGAAAACTTTGAGAAATATTTTATCTAAGTAGATTAAAATATATGTATAATAGAAGAATTCTAATTAATGTGATAACTAAAAATTCCCGAAATAGTGCATTTTAGGGCAAACAGAACTAAATGAAAGTATTATATTTGCAACTCGTAATCAGCGGACAGTACAATACAAAGGAACTATAAATCAGTACAAGTTTCTTAGAAACACCTAGAAAGTGAATTCACATTTCTGACTGGATGGCTAACGTTCCTGCTAATATATTTAGAAATACCTCAGGAACTTTCAGAAGCTTGAGACAATTTGACATACCGTAAATATTTCGACTTTCTGTATATAAACTAACCTTGTAGAAAAACGTTCTCACACACTCCGCGCCCTTCCTCTCGTTTTCAAGTTGTCGTCTAAATTTAGCCTGGTGTTACCAGGAAAACTTAAGAAACTGATTTAGGAGTTCGGTTGCAAGACTTATCACTTTGTCTCAAAAACAGTTTGTATATCTGAAGTGGGCTACGAGTTGTAGTACAATTGTTATGCATCTCGAATGTTCTGGGTTCACCATACATAAGCATTTTTGGCTTGTTGATCCTTTACTCCACTTTGTTGATTGCTTGCTCTCTATTTTCGTCCATTTAGGCAGTCTTGACATTCATGGGATGCTAAGCTGCTGAAAGTATAAAAGCGGTGTCTGATTGCGTATGTGTCATCGGAACAAATTCACAGAAATATTAGATATTTGAAGTTAATTAATGATGGTCTCTTTCAGGTGTCCAGAAGCATTAAAAAGGTTGTTATTTCATAAAAGGTAAATACTTTGGATGTGAAGGGTATGATTGCTATCCACAGTATGGGACCATAGTCATTTGGACTACCTTATTCAGCGGACTTTTGAATGTAAGGTCACAATGAATCAGCTGCTTCGTCTTGGCAGCCTGAGGCACCTCACTGGAGCATCCACTCCTAGGATATGTTACTCTACATTTCCGCTAATTAATCGTGTCGGGCAGTATTCAGCACGTCTGGTATATATATCCTCATATTTTTTATTATGTAGTTTAAAACAAGATCTAAGTGGCAATGGGGATCTACAAATGCTAGTAAGTAAAACACTCAGTTCAATAATGTGAATCGACAGATTATTCCAGTGACCATCAGAGTGATGATCCTTCCCAAAATAACCCATACAATGTGGACATTTATGCATTAGCTGCGGGTGGTGCTTCATTTGCCCTCTTGTTAATTGCGTGGTGGTTAATTGCTAATGTACCCCATATACCTCAAGTGACTTTCGGAATGCTTGTATCCATGTTGGAAAGAGGTGAAGTTCAAAGGATACAAATAACGTCTTCCGGTGATGTGTACATTCTCACTTATCAACATGGTCAACTGCCTGTAAGCTAATATTTTATCTAACATGCATGCCATAAGCACCAAGAGGGGGTAAAGATTTTGTATTTTACAGCGCTTAAGATCCTAATTAGCGAATATCTCGATGGGTCAGGAAAATTTACTCCACTTTTCGTACCAAGCTTGGAATAACCAATCCTAACAGGTCACAGGGTTTTTGTTTATTTTTGCCGTTTTTTAGTTCAAGTATAAAACTTAAGTTCAACAGTAATCTCGTACAAAGTAATTGATTCAAGGTACCCCGATCGTGTCAAACCTGAGTAACTTCAGTCCCAAGTCGTAGTTGTCTTCTGTAAGCAATACTGGGCTTTAGGTTGAAGTGTTTTATATTCATATGTTTGGTGACAGTAGACTTAAGAATTTTCCCCATTCGAAAACATATTGTGGTTATCGGCTTTCGTAGGTTACCTTTCATTTTATTCTGTAATTATATACAAGGTCTCATTCTAAACTGCAAGTAGTCTGATTTGACAGAATCTGTGCTTTTGATTCCTGTTATCAGTGAGATTGACTGATTGATTCTCATTATGAGTTTCTATCTAAAGAGAGTTAGAGAATTGGAGCACAATTACTACATATTCAACTTGATTTGTGTTGATCTTATCCAGATAGTCTTAGTTTTTACTATAAGTTTTCTACGCTAACGAGTCGGAAAAATGTTTGTTACTTAAAAACTCCTATATGTTTTTAAGATATTTCCTCCTTACTTTACTATACTCTCACTTGTTAATTATCATCCAAAATTTTCTGTAGTTGATTTTGAAGTACTCAGTACCTGTAAATGAATTTGTAAAAAAATTACGATCCCTAGAGGATACGTGGGGCATTGAAGAACATGACCGTATCCCAGTCCAGATGTCTGACTTGTAAGTAAATTTATGATTTTAAAAGTATATGGTTTACCAACCAAGTAAATGTTTAAATATTACTTTATTTATGCTTGTTGTTTAAGGAATTACGAAACTACTCAACCAAATATTCAGAATAATATATAAATATTAAGCTAAAGGAGCGAGTTAGTTGTAGATTTATGATACTCACGATTGTTTAGAGGAAAGTATCCGTTGACGCACACTGACCTTGAATAGCGTCTTACACTTTATATTATGTTATCAGGTACGGCCAATGTTAGAAAGGTATGCGCCACATATATGTTTGGTGCCCCCTTGTACTAATATTTATGTGCTCAAATAAATAATAAATAATAGGAAGGTATACCCATAACGAATAAGTTTCATACTTTCATAGACAAAATGATCTCAGTAATCTGACAGATCCAATCAACGCTTGTGAACGTGTCCATGTAGTTGTTTGTTTCGTCAGTTAACTTTGTATGCTAAAAGTTACCTACGCGATTCCTATATAGACACTTGTTTTATTTTTGCACTAGTTCTGGTTGTTGTTCGAATGTAATATACCTAAAATTGGTGCTGATTAGTACTGAGTTGGTCGTGTCTAGTTAAAATGCAATGACTGACCAATAACCCTCAAATGATGACGTAACTGTAGAAAATCGTAGTAGCTAGTGTTTAAAGACATTCCTAAAATTTGACGAGGTCACATTCTCGTGTCATCACGATCCCGCATATACTGAAAATACTGTTTCACGAAATTTAAATCATATTATCAAGTGCCCAATTGTAACTACCAATTGGTCTTGAAATAATCTAAATAAAATCTAAGTACTCATTCTGTCGTTGGTTTTTTTTCTTGTACACTTACGGACCACTTTCATATAAATACCAAACTTCTTAAAAACCCTTTTCTGTGTTTTTAAACTTATTCTCAGACCTTTGAACACGTTCATGCAAAGATGGAATACGAAATTGTGTACTGGTCTTCTATTTATATCTTGTGGATTGTTCACATTTTCAACGAGGAGAATGTTGTCTCAAAAAAAGAACTTCGAAAAAGCAGCGAATAGTGGTATTATGAGGAAGTCTATAAATATCTCAAAGTATCATGATGACCCTAAGCCACCGAAAACATCGGGCTCAAGTTTTGATTCTGAAAACGACCGATTTTCTTTTCGTCCACCCTTCCAGTGGGATCCTATTACTGGTTTCAATACAATTAAACCTACAACATCCACCGTAAAATTTAAGGTATACTTTATTTTAACTAAGTTTTCACTTGTTTTTCAGCCATCACATGACATATGTAGCTTGAATAATTCAGTTGCTTGTGTTATTTGTAATCAGATAGCTTTATTTTCCCAGTTTTACATTTTATTTTAATGCTTCACTTGTCCTTTATTAAGTATACGAAACTAGGTGATGGGTAGTGTAGTTAATGTCTATAAATGTTTTTCATTTGAATACTAAGCATCGTCTGTTTAGTGTTTTTTAAAATTGATTTTCTTGACGTGGAACGTTTTGCTAAACACACTTATTCAGGTCAAGTATGGCAATGTGTGTGTGTTGTAGTAGTTCACTGTATAAACATTTGTCGACTAATTAAATCCTATTCACTCCAATTTTTTAGTTAGAGGGATCTAGTGGTTTAACAGATTACGTACGTATTAGGTTCTTTATACAAGTATGAATCGAGTATTCAATTTACCTTGTTCGTAGATGCTACAACATGGTGTTTACTTAAAATAAACAAATAGCTTAACAGTTTACAGGATATGGGAATCAAGTAAATTCTTATACCTAGTCTTTTGTAATCCATTTCTGTTTGCGTTTCCTCCCCGTAATAGTATGGTCAAGTTCCACTTGCAGATATACACCTACATTGGCCTTTCAAAGGTGACTTTCAACACTGTGAATGACACCTATGATCGAATACTAGTAACCTACGAATATCCTCTACTCTTACCGGCCATGTTTCACTGCCATAAAGTGGGACGGAACGAACTGCTGAGCAGTAAGCACGTCCTTTGGTTGATAGACGGATATCTCGCCTACGCCATAAATGACGCAAGTTGGCAAAAGCTAGTCGAGCCTTCTGTATCCGTGCTGAGATTTCGTCACACACCAGACCCCAAGAGCTGATGAGACTTCCAAGATAAGTGAAGCGGTCGACACGCTCAACTACTTCACTCCCTATCATTAGTTCGGGTGTCGATGCAACCCAATCCTGAAGCAAAATTTTGCATTTCGAGGGAGAGAATCGCATGCCGAACATGCTTGTATTGCTGCTCAGAGTGGTCAGAAGACTCTGCATTTTGTTAGTGTCTTCACCAAACAGAACTATGTCATCGGCATATTCTAAGTCATCAAGTGAATCTCCTGGTAGAATTTCAACCCCTGGAAAGTCAGATGAGGAAAGTGTTATCTCTGAAAACACGTCACCGACAAAGTTAAACGAGAATGGACAGCCCTGACGAACACCACTTGAGGTAATCAATTCTGATGACAGTTCGCCATAAGCTCTTACTCTATTAGTTGTGTTCGAGTAGAGAGCCTTTATAAGGTTAATGTACTTCTTTGGTACTCCTTTCAGTGATAAACACTGCCATAGAACCTCACGATCTACAGAGTCAAATGCCGCTTTAGTGTCGAGAAATACTACTATTGTGGGACGTCCAAATGTGTGTCTATGTTCTAGAACCTGACGTAGTATGAATATCTGATCTATATAACCATGTCCAGGTCGAAAACCGGCCTGGTTTTCTCTAGTCTGCTCTTAACGAGTTTTAGTTAGGCGTCGAAGTATTATTGAAGCTAATATTTTAGACACTATATTAGTCAAACTGATTCCTCTGTGATTGTCACAAGAGGACTTTTATCCTTTCTTATAGACTGGCACAATCAGTGATTGAGATCTGTCAGATGGGATTACGTCCAGTTCCCAGATTCTAACCAAGACCTCAGTCAATCTCGCTGATAATACTGGACCACTATCCTTAAAAATCTCAGGGGTAAACCTGTCAGGGCCTGCTGCTCTCCCTCGCTTTTTCGACTTCGTTAAGAGTTGGAGGACTTATATTAACTTGCCATTGAGGTCGACTGGAGATCGTGGGAAACCGAAGTGTTGCTGCAGGCCAGTTGAACTGATCCCTAAAGTGTTCTGCCCATCGATCCAATCTCCTGGATTGAGAATGAATAAAATGTCCATCTTTCTCTGAGATTGTTTCGCTAACAGTTGGGTTCCTAATACCGGTTTCCTTAACGAGTCTGAACAATTGTCTGCTATTACCTTTTGCCGCTGCCTTTTCCATCTCTCTTGCTTTCGCTACCAACCACTGTTCGCGATCATTGCGTAGACTTCTTGTCAGGTTGCGCTTAAGCTGACTCCGCTCTTCATTATGTTCAGAGCCAGGTTGAATGAGTTTCCGAGCATCTATCAGTGCGATAGATGCTGCTGAGGTCCAGTGTTGCTCCCTAACCTTACGGGTTACCGTACTAGCAGATATCACTGCTGTTTCCACAGCTTTTCGGATATCATTCCATGCTGCATCGGGGTGGGCATCACATACATGGCTGCCTAACTGTTTTCCTAGTTGTTCCTTAAATATACTCTTAGCTTGACTATCATTAAGTAGGCCCCTAAGAGGTTTCCTTGCAGCGTCTTTCCTACGTCCAGTAAGACGCAAGCAAATACGCGCTCGCACTAGAGCATGATCTGAATCTAGGCATGTGCTCCAGAATGAGCGACAGTCTTCTATCGAGCCCCTCCATCGGTGGCTGATAGCGATGTGATCTATTTGGATCCAACGTTGGGACGAATTAGGGGGTCTTCATGTTAAAAGATGTTTTTGTTTATGCTTAAAGTTAGTATTCGCGAGAAACAGGCGGTTATCTGAGCATAGCTGCAACGAACAGTCGCCATTATTTGTTCTTTGAGCCACGACAACATAAGATCCACCTAGGTGTCTTTCCCTATCGCTTAGTTTAACTACTTGAGCATTAAAGTCACCAGCCACTATTACTACATCAGAGCGCCTAGCTTTTCGGAGAAGGTCGGAAAGCTTTCTGTAAAATTCATCTTTTACATCATCTGAGCTGCAGTCAGTGAGAGAGTAGGCAGAGACGACGAAGAGGCACCGACGAGTGTCCCTATCTTTCCGAGTCCTTACTGTTCCGTTTAGTCGGACAGCGCACAAACAACTGTCTACTGGGATTCAGTCTAAGAGAGCTAGTCCTGCCCTAGGACTCAACGCTGTACCTACGCCGGAGAGTCCACGAGAAACAGCATCAGGGCTTCCAGATACACGAAGTGTGAATCGAGTTGGTTCTTTATTTTGGCATGGTGAGATCAAGTGAATGACGCTACTCGGATCCTGTATGCGCGTTTCGGAGACGCAGCACACATCGATGGCTTGAGATTTTAAAGTCCTAGCTAAGGAAGCCTGTTGTCCCATTTGGCACGGTGTTCGAACGTTAAAAGCTCCTACATGTAGTTTAGAGCGTGGTTTCAGGAGACCAGGAATATTGTTCCGCGGTCTGTTAGACGAGTGAGAACTGATGGGAATTGTTATACTGTTGGAAATTTTAGTGACAACAAGTGATTTCAAATGAAGTAAGATATTAGTTTGAAAACACATTGTTGCTATACTTGTTTCATTATGGTATCGATTTCTGATTACGAGGCAAAGGGTGCTAGCCTTTCTAGGAAAATTGGCCCTTGGGTTAACAAGGTTACCATGTGAGTTTTTCCAGTGAACTGTACTTAATCGACAGATGCACTTCCAACTACATGGTAGGTCATGTGAAGCTGTTGTCCGAATTCGATACATAGGTATATAGAGACAATAACGATACTCAACAATGTTTACATACAGATGAGTAGCAAGACGGTTGATACATTTGCGAAATTTCAAATAAAACACTAGCTTTGTTGCAAGAACATTGCTTTTTTGACTTGTTTGACGAGTATTATGGCAATGGCATTAATAGCCTCTATAAAATCTAGCTTAAATATTTCTTTGATGATGATTTATGAACAGACATGACTTAAGAAAATGCGCAACATTAAAAGCATGCCGACTAGTCAAAAACTATATTTGAGAGTGGTAAGTCATTATTTGAAAGTTTAGAATCACGAGATGATCTAAATACCATAATGTTGATCTAATTTTATGTGGTCCTCCGTAGCCTTGGTGATGGCTATGTATTCCAGTATATTGAAAAACCCTCATTTCAAAACTTAGTAAGGAGAACAAATATAGCGAAAAATTTCTCTTTAATTAGTTTTCTCTCTCTCTCTCTCTCTCTCTCTATATATATATATATATATATATATATATATATATATATATTTCAGCTTTATTATCGTAATCATATATGTAGTTCCTGGAATAAATTTTCACTTTTTTTCATAACTATTTTAGGACGTCGCTGGTCTTCATGCATGTAAACAAGAAGTTATGGAGTTTGTTTCTTATCTAAAAAATCCTCAAAAGTATCAAGCGTTAGGTGCTAAGTTACCAAAGGGGGCACTTCTACTTGGTCCACCGGGAACTGGAAAAACTTTGCTTGTATGTGTTATATTCCGTTTTTTTTTTAAATAAATTTGATAAAAATGTTCTTACAACATGCTTCAGTTCCACTAAGTTTAAAATATATGTGAAATAATTTGATTTTTTGAAATTCATTTATTAGGTGTATAAATGTAATATTGTTATATGGTGAATTTAATATCTCTGAGGATTTCATAACCATGTTATAAGATTTATTGCATTCATCATTTTTGAATTAAAGAACATAAAATAGAAATTTAGCACATATCTTCCATTCTATGTATTTCTGCTCACAAATTTCCAATGGGAAACTTCAGTTTTTGTCAGCGGTGTAATCTTCAGATTACTCTTAAATTAGTAATTATTTAAAGGATGTCTCTTGTTATCTGTGAATGTTGTATGGTGTAAATTACCAGTGCAAATATGATCAATTCATTCAATCGATTTTTTTCTACCAATCTTCTTTTTGACCCAATGCATTATTATCTTATCCCAAGACTTAGCAATATATTATGAAAAAATAAAAAATGAATTTTATTGTTAATGATAATTAGCTATAAACTGAAATACTTTACCATTTAGGTTAAAGCATTGGCCAATGAAGCGGAAGTACCTTTCTTTTCAATGGCTGGACCACAATTTGTAGAGGTTGTCGGTGGACTTGGTGCTCTTCGATTACGACAGCTTTTCAAAGTAGCTCGTTCTCATTCACCAGCTATAATATTCATAGATGAGCTCGATTCCCTTGGTCGACGTCGTGATTCTGGTGATCAGAGGTAATCTGTGATAATAATAATAGTAATTTTATGTTGTGTGGGTACGTATTTGGTTTTCTCGATGATGTGTAAGAAAATTTTTCCATAAATTTATTTTACTTGCTCACTACTGGGACACTTGTTGGAATATCTATAATATTGAATACACAAATAACTATCGTGTTCTTGATTGAGATCATGGATCGATTGATGTTAGACCACTGTTAGAAACCTGGAAGCACTGGGCGGCCGTCTTGTCCTATTGTGGGACTCCTCAGCAGTGCTCATCCATGATCCCGCTCGCGGGAACGCTTAACCTACTCTACCACTGAGTCGGCATCTAATGGTGTTAGTGTCTAACATCAACCAATCCACGAAACTGCGCGACCATCTTCCATTGTACTGAGGTAGATACCTGTCTCTACCCGACATGGATTAGCTCCACTGATCACGGCTTCTCACCAGAACTCCGAGAATTCCCTCACAAAGTTAGTCACTAGTGAGCACATGTTAATTACCAGTATAGGGGTTGTAGAGATTACTTAGTTCTTGATTGAGATCATGAACCGATTGATGTTAGACCACCTTTGAAAACCTGGAAACTTAATAATCTCCACAACCCCCTATACTGGTAACTATTGTGTTACCAGTTTTAAGTACCTTTTTAAACTTTTCATGGACAAACATTTGATAGACATTTTTATGTGTTGTAACCCAGTTTGATATTCAATTTGAAATAGTCTGAGTTTTCAGGTACATCAAGCTTACAAGTCCCAAATAAAACGAAATGCCCGTCCAGGATTCCACTACCAGCTATATTTCATCTATTCTATATATCAGCATATGTTCATAATGGAATTTTCAACTTTTTAGGGTAATGGTAAGAAAGTCGTCTGTGAATACTTTAAGGAAGTTGTGAACTAGACATAAACTCATGTCCAGCGCAGTTTATTTTTTACCTTTTTTGTCCTTTCATGATGAAGATTATTTAGAACTTCTCCATTTAGCGATAAGGTGATAGTGAGAAACAATCATGTATAACAGTGAATGAAGTGGTGTTCTCTCTTTCTCTCTAAACTTTGAATAGATCATAAAGTCGTTGAATTATGAATTCAGTCTATGACTTTTACAGTAGTAAATTATCTTGAGGTATTTTTCATGACAACTAGGATAATACGGTGAAGGCTTTAAGGAAAGTGAAAACCATTGTTTCCGCCAATTCATGAAGTTACTATCCTTTGGTTTGGGTTATATAGTTAGGTTTAGACTATTTATGTAAGGGTGTTGAGATAATCAAATAGTAAAAGAATCTAATCTGCCCAACTTATGTCCATTGAGAGTATGATACAAATCTATTTGACACGTGCTTTGTTTATAATACTGAACATATTATTAATCGTTCTTTCCTTTCCTTCTGTTATTCATATCTTAATTGTTTATGTTAATACACCTTTTCTGTTCATACAATCCTTACAAATGATTCATTACTTTTATTTCTTAATATGTGATGACCAACACTTAGTTCATGGGACTTTTATATGCCTCAAACTGCAAACCTTTATTCGATTCATTAACTGTTTTCGTATCCTTCTCTGTTCTAAGATCACTGTAAATTAATTATAAGCCGATTATTCCAACTTTGTATCCTAAATGCTCTAGTTTAGAACAGATTTTAATTTTTGATTTATGATGCATCATAATCATATGGCTCATGAGTTTGATCATGTGAATTTTTGTGTTGTAGGTACAAATATCACTTCGGTTTTCTTATTCTCTCTCACGTTCCGATTAAGTCTTGGGGACGAGGGAATCTGTGTAACCAATTAGGGTTTAGATACCAAATCCTTTAGTTATGGTATTAATACTGCTGGTCTAAGTGTAGCAGACCCAGTTCACTGTAGTAAATTTCTTCCCATCGCTTGCATGTGATGTATAAACTTTGTTTTTATTTCTTGTAGAGAGGGTGGTGGTGGTGTATCTGAGATGGAACAGACGCTGAATCAACTACTTGTAGAAATGGATGGAATGGATACAACTGAAGGTGTTATTGTATTTGGAGCGACAAATCGAGCTGACTTGTTAGATAGAGCTCTGTTACGTGCAGGACGATTTGACAGACATATTTTCATTAATTTACCAAATCTATCTGAACGTAAAGAAATATTTGCTGTATACCTTGGTATGCAAGAGATTTGTCTATTAAATTTCATTTTATTCTTTTTTTAGATCAATAGTTATATGTAATTTTGTGGTACGAAAAGTGCTTTATAAATTCCCATATTGAAGTGTGTGAATGAGTCTCAATAGACGATTTTATTTATGTTTTAGGTTATGCATTTCGGTTAGTTAGTAATCACGTTTCTGCAATCACACAACTATTCATTAGTTAGAAAATAGAAATAAATTCTGCACTGTTTCATAGATTTATATAGAGTGATTATTCAGTTCATGCACTAAGAAAAATCCACTTATTAGCTTTCTCAGAGGAAGTCTGTAGCAGACTGTATAGTGACGAATAATACTTATATCAAATTGCCTTCGGATAAAAAGAGTAAATATTTTTCTTTATAAATAGTCCCAACATCTTAGCAAAAATAACAAATACAACACTTAAAAAAATAAAGAACTCTTATGAAAAGTATTTTGTTCTTATGGTCATCGTAGTTAAATATTTGATCATGGACGTTCTACTTATTCATTTTGTGACTTTATGTATATCAGCTTCTTTATGAAGACATAATCAAGTTGTTTCGTCGTAATATCTTTTACATGTAATTGTGATGTGCCGGTCCCTCTTTTTATAAAGCTTGTAAATGTTTCTGTGTTTCTCATGGACATGTTCTTTAGTATTGGTTACTGAAATTCAGGTAGGGATTCATTATTTTGTTGAATGTTTCTTCTTGATAGTAGTTAATTTTAGTATGAGGATTAATAACTTATTAACATTAGTTTAAAGTCACCCGGATAGCCCCTATATATCACCATAAAGTCATGAAATATATATTGTCAAACATTTCATTCTGTCAATTAAACTGAAGACTAGGTTCTGTTAGCCCCTAAAATGTTCAGTGTTGTTGTTGTGAGTTGGAAATGTAAACGATCGGGAAATTGTTTTAGTATGGCATGAAATCTGTGCTAACTGGATAGACCGGGGAAGTAATATACAACACTTCAACAGTAATCTCCTGGGCGGTCGGTGAGAGAGAAGTTCTGTTGGGAATGTGTTTGGTGAAAGCCCTAGATGAATGGAGAATAAAATTGCAATTAAGTTACTTACTTACGCCCGTTACTCCTCGTGGAGGAGCATAGGCCGCCCACCAGCATTCTCCATCCAACGATGTTCGTTATGCAGTCTGATGATTCCCTCGATGTATGTCCTATCCATCTCCAGACTCTTTTCCTAATTTCCTCTTCAGCTAAAAGTTGGTTTGTTTTCTCCCACAGTCGGCTGTTGATGATGCTATCCGTCCAACGGATATCGAGTATCTTGCGTAGATAATTGTTTATAAATATTTGTACTTTTCTGATGATGGGTGTAGCAGTTGTCCAAGTTTCAGCTGTATACAGTAGAACTGTCTTGATGTTCGCATTGGAGATTCTGACTTTGATGTTGGTTAAAAGTTGTTTTGAGTCTCAGACATTTTCCAATTGTAGGAATGCTGCCCTTGCTTTGCCAATCCTTACCTTCATATCTGCGTCAGATCATCCTTGTTTATCGATGATGTTGCCCAGATACGTGAGACTTTCCACCTCCTCCAGAGCTTCTCCATCAAGTGTGATTGGTTTGGTGCACTCTGTGTTGCATTTCAGGATCATTCTTTTTCCCTCGTTTATTTTGAGGCCTACTGCTGCCAAGATTGCTGCTACACTGACTGTCTTCACCTGAATTCGTTGGTGTATGGGGTAAGTGAGCTAAATTATCTGCGAAGTCCAAATCGTCTAGCCGCATCCGTACTGTCCATTTTATTCCGTGCTTCTCTTCATATGTGGAGGGCTTTATAATTCGAGAGAACACTGGAAGAACGAGAAAAGACAGGAGTAAGCAGCCTTGTGTGACTGCGGTCTTTACTTGAAATGTGTCTGTCCGTTGACCATCCAGATTCATTCGATCGTTGGTGGAGTTACATCTATAGGATGGTCTGTGTGTGCTGCTTCAATGGGCGTTGAATTGAATGGAGCTGTTTCATTCAAGAGTTCCTCAAATTGTTCTAGTCATCTGTTCTTGAATCTCGGTGATTAGCTTGCCTTTTTTTGTCCTTGATCGGTGTCTCTGTTTCTTATATTTCCATTCCAGTTTCCTGATTGTGTCATATTGCTGTCTCATATTTCCTTCTTTTGCATCCTTTTCCTCTCTGGTTGCTAGGCATCCCACGTATTTCTGCTTGTCGGATCTAATGCACTTCTTTGCTTGCTTGTTTGCTTCTGTGTATTCAGCTTGTTCCTTGACTTTCTCTGTTCTTGTTCAGATTTTATTAACTGCTCTCCTTTCTTGAATCTTATCCATGGTATTGACATAGAGTCATTCCTTATGATGATGCTTCTTGCGGCCCAGCACCTCCTGGCATGTCGAAGTTACTTCTTCTTTGATCCTTTTCCAGTTGTTTTACATTGTAGTTTTATCTTCCTTGAGTAGATGTTGTTAGGCTTGGGACCTGTTGTTGAGAGTTATCTTGAATTCGTTGAGTTTGTTAGTATCTGGAAGGGAGGCTGTATTGAACCTTTGTACTGCTGTTTCTTCAGTTGTCCATTGCTTCTTTCGATGCAGTTTCATCTCGGCAACCACCTGGTTGTGCTCACAAGTTTTGTCAGCTCATCTCCTGATTCTCACGTCCTACATTTACCTTCTGGATTCTTTATTGATACAAATGTGGTCTTTCTGTTTCTCTGTAATGTGATCCGATGAGACCCATGTAGCTTTGTGTGCGCGTTTATGGGGTTATATTGTGTCATCTATAACCATTTTGTTGAATGCACTTAAATTTTCAAGTTTTTCATCGTTCTCGTTCCTTTCTCCCAGTCAGTCTATGTCGTCCCATGATATACTTATATCCTATGTTGTCCATTCCGACTTTGGCGTTTAGATCTCTCATCAGTATGGTCAGGTCCTTTCATGCACACGTCGCTATAATCGACTGCCACATCCCATAAAAGTAATTTTTACCATCGTCGTTGCAATCATTGGTGGGTGCATAACACTGGATAACATTCGTTGTGATTTCCTCCTTTGTTTCGAAGGATGGTTTGATGATCCTGGGTCCATGAGATTCTCATTTTACAAGTGCATTCCGTGCTTTTTTTTGGATAGCGTCAGAACAACTCCCTGAGTGTGTGGAGCATTTTCTTCTTTGTGACAAGAGTACGACAACATCCCACCCATGTCTTTCCTTTTCTGTCCAGTTTGTATCCGATGGGTTTAACTTATTCCGGGCGCTCAAGTTGTATTTCATTTCCGGAGCTATTTTGCTGGTTCTCTCGGCCTCGCACATTGTTAGAACACTCCATGTACTTATAAAAATTGTTGCTCTAGATGTTAGAAGGGGCATCAGTTTCGTGACTTCCGAAGAATATCACCTTTCACCATGAGGCGTTATAATTCTTTTGAATGAAGATATCTCAACTCCCAGGACGGAGTTTAAATGGTTTAAACTGTTTACTCTGGTTAACGTATTTTTAACAATGTTGTTTCTGTGGGATGGGGTTGGTGACCCCATACTCAACCCTACTCCTTAACCCGGCCTTGGAACCGTTGGCAACCCTAGAGGAGCTACAGGCGGAATTGCACTTACATTAGTCAATTATAAGTTGATTATAGTGATTTTTGACTCATGTTTATTGGTTGTTTGAATCTTCCCTTTAGGTATTTAATACTTCAATTAGCCAGTCGCTTTTGGGATATCTGCATTCTGTGCAGATTGCTTCAACATTGCCATTAAGTCACAAGTATTATTAGCAGAAATGTATGGTGGCTAGCAGTGGAATCCAGGACGCATGTTTTTTCTTGTCCGGGACTCAAAACCAGTACCGTTCGCTTCACACGTCATCGTGTTATCCACCTAGCTACTGAGTCAAACAACCAACACAACTGGATTACAAAAAATCTACCCCATTTCATAAGCCAGTGGATATCCGGACTCAATAGCTAAGTGGATAACAAGATATCGTTCGAAGCGAACGGTACTGGGCTCGAGTCCTGGAATAAATATCGATTCTGAGATGCAGGCACATCCAACTTACGAGTCCCGGATAAGACAAAACACGCGTCCTGGATTCCATTGCTAGTCACCATCCATCTCTGCTTCTAATGAATTAAATTATCATAATTTTTTATCTGAGTACTTTTCACTGAACTCAAATCACAGCAAAAAAATGCATCGTCGGTCCATAGGGTAATGTAATAAAAATGTATTGAAAGTTTGACTTCGAATTCACCGTAATTCATTATTGATTTTATTCCTTATAAGTTGTATGTAAGACAGATACCACATCCTCAACAGTTGTAGATATTTTGACGAGAATGATCAATTATACATTAACAGCCGAATTTTCTTCGTGTTGGATAAGATTACTGAAATTAATATAAAGTTAATGAAAGTGTAGTTAAGGGGAAAACCGCTTAGTGTCTGTTTTTGAATAAGATTTATGCAGTTTTTTCTCAGGATAAAACTCAAAACCAGTGTCAGTGACGTTGTTACATTCATTTCTTATCTTCCGCTCATAATTTTTACTATCCAGTTTCATTTGTTCCTTATTAGATATATTCTTGATTATTAGTTCACTACGACAATTGATGTTGGTGTAAAGTTATTTTCTCGTTGTACTAATGTGAATTACAAGAACTTTAACTAATGTACATTTGTACCAGCTGCCACATTTTATATGACTTATTGGACAACAAAATTCCATTCTAATCAGTGCTTTAAAAACAGAAAGTAACATAACTATATGAAGAACGACATAGCTGTTAACTTGAATAATAAAAAGTTACTGTCCATTCAGTGGATAGTTTCAAAAAGAGAATAGAAATAAATAGATTAAAATCATATTTTGACATTATTTATGATCAGTTTCTGCTTAACTGGTTCAAATTAAAATAATACAAAGAATCCAGGTTCTTGGTAAAATCTTTTAGTTTTATATATATATATATATATATATATATATATATATATATATATATATATATATATATCATTTATAAGATCAGAATATAAATAACTTGGATCACTTTAGGCTAAGTATACTGTTTTACCTTTGCTTAAAAATTCATTGTTTTATGAATTAGAAAAAGAATTAAAATAGTTTTAGTAAATTTTATTTAATCGTATTATACTTGAACTGTATAGCTTTCACACTTTACATATATACCTAAAACATTTTGTCTACAAAACTATGCTATAAAATATATCAACACTCCATGAAACAGTCAAACTTGATCTTTCTTTGCCTTCAAATTGATCACTTATAGTTGAGTAATAATTCAAATGACTTTTAGAATGTTTTTTTTCCCCTACATTTTTATTCAACCATAATTTAATTCGTATTCTATCTTTTTATCTTCAATTTCAGCTAAATATCAACTTGCTCCTGATGTTGTACAAAATGAACTTGTTGAACGTTTATCAGCCTGGTGTCCCGGAATGTCTGGAGCCGATATTGCACGTCTATGCAATGAAGCTGCTTTGTCTGCTGCTCGAAGAGATGATAAAGTTGTTGGTGTTACTAAAGCTGATTTTGAAGCAGCACTTGAAAGAATAGTAGCAGGTTGTTTTTTTGCCTGTAGATATTTAATTATAGTTAGCTGTTTTAAACTTTTTTTCCGCGGATTTCCTAACGGTTTCTTTTTTTATACTTTGTATGAAAAATGTCTAAATTCTTGCTAATAAGTTGGCTAGTTTTGTTTCTACATTTTTGAGTAATCAGTTTACCTTTTAGTGCTTATCATCGACAGATTACTATACTGTTTCAGATTTTAATAAAAACAATCTTTAATAGAAATAAGTTTATTTAGTCTAAAGAATATTACGTATAAAATAATTTTTTCATGACTAATGACTTTATTCTCATTGTGTAGGCGCTGCAAAACATTCAAATCCACTTACGGTTGCTGAACGCCACATGTCTGCTGTCCATGAATCTGGTAGGGCTCTTGTAGCATGGCTTCTTTCAGATAGTGGAGTACTACCTATAAAAGTCTCAATTATACCGCGTACGGTTTCTGGTCCAGATACTGTTGGAGATCTGGGTTTTACTCAATTAATATCAGAAGAAAAATATTTACTTAATACTGATGATCTAGCTGATCGTATGTCTGTATTACTGGGTGGTAGAGCGGCTGAGCATGTTGTATACAATGCAATTTCAGATGGTTAGTTCATTTTGTGTGTTTCCCGTTAAGATACATTTTTTTCAATGTATATCTGTTCATTGTCTGAATATTAGACACTAGCTTTTATCTTGCTAAAGCTTCAGTGTAACTTTATCACGCACGTACTATTACTAGTTAAATTCATACATCACAATGTTTATTGTGAAATTAACAATCCAATAATAGAATACTTTATTTGATCTTGTTATGTAGGTGTTCAGTAATTGCTAAGTTGACATTTCTGATCGTAAAAGTCAATGAATAAAATGCTAATCGATAAATAAACGGGATGATATGATTTGACCAAGTGATTTGAGTCCGTGAATGGTTAGAAATCTAAGAGAGGACCACTAGACAAATGCATTTCTTAAAAGTAATAAAATAACGTGATTATATACAAAATACTGACGGAAAGTAAACATGATAGGATGTCATTAATAATTAGAAGAAATTTACTTGTAGGTCACTCATTCTCCGATTAATTAAGACGTAACTGTTAGGCTTATTCTTTAGGCATCGTATCAAATCACTTAGTTATCAAGCACGAATTTATACACTTGACATTTAAACTATTAGTTTTATGTGATTGCTAGTAATGCCGTACAATTACAAAGTCTAATGTAAGTCGGGCGAGATACGAACTTTGAACCTGATGGTTGGAAGTCGATTGCTTTAATACCTACCTACGTTACTGATCTACATTCTGTTTAACCACCACAAACGATGTTATAGATGTTCTGGTGATTTTGACTGAGTTGATACGTTTTCACCTCACATTTACTGGGATTCGAAAATCTGGGTGTGAAATAGGATATAATTCAGACATATTTTTATAAATATAGGCACGAACAAATTAAGAAAGCGCTTTTAGGTTCCTTAAACAGATCATCTGCAGAGTAGGCAAGATTACCCATCTAACAACTAAGAAACGAGTAAACTGCTCAATAGTTTGCCGTTTTATTTTATGGTACTTAATTGTGACATTTAAAAGTATAGAAAGTCCACCGCTTACTAGTATTTCGTTTTATGTATCTTCAAACCATCACTCGTATATGTCGAAGCCACTCGATGACTAATGTTGAGATCAGACAGATACTAGACAAGAATGACGTATCTGTTGATGATGTTGTGAATCCTCATCGACTGACGATGTCGGCTGGTTTCGTCGACTGTTGAACTAATGTGCGTTAGTAGGTATAGACTATCTGGTCGGGGTCCTCAAAATTATCATGATCAATAGTTGTAAACGCTAAGTGACATGACATAGAATCGGTCACAGGTGGTTTCACTCTTTTTCTATATCTAGCTAGGTTCAGTTTCAAGATCATATTATACTTTTCCGTCCCATCAATTCACTCATATAATCTATGCTTGGTCTTTTCTACTAATACGTACTGTTACTACTGTCACTACTCTGGAACTTGTCCTGATAATTTCATCTCACTGTTCTGATATGGTACGGAAACTGGAGCCAATACATATTTGTGCCAGGTTGTATCTTACTTATGCCTGTCGGAAAATAGTTTATTCTATATTTTTGACCTTCTAATGAATTGTCAATAAGTAATCGGGGGTATATTTAAGAAAAGCAGAAACTATGAATATGTGATATTAAGGTCGTAAGACATAGTCACCATACAAATCTCTTTTCAAGTGAATTCAATCATTCACATTTTATCGCAATTTGTTGTAGAAGATGGATGCATGAAATACCTCATGAATAAAGATAACCAACAGAAAAGCTGCTTGGTACCGGAGAATGATATTTATCTGTTTTTGAGTCTGGCTGTACTGTTTCTAACCTACTTAGGAAAAAAATTACAAGTACAAAACATCCATAGTTCAAAGTACACACACATACCTGATGTTTAGTAAATTTGGATGCTTATTAGTTTTCATACCCTAATTTTGTTTTCGAAATTTCCCTCACATCTCTATGTACGATGAAATGTCATTTTCATATTCTATTCATTTAATATTTAGTTTCGCAAAAATACCTTCAGGAAGCTAATAAATTAGCAATGAAGCAAGTACGTAAGTTTGGAATGTCTAAGAATATTGGAAACCTCAGCTTTGACGTGAGTGTACTAACTTTGATAAAACACTTTTTCTGTTTGGTTTATAACTTACTCTAGTTTGTACTAAGATATCTGTTCATCATTTCTAACTAATAACAACCACGCCAATCAGTTTGTTACTAATTGAGCACAGACTTCAAGATATAAAATGTAAACATCTCTCAATGTTTAGGAAATGCCGTTTATTCTCTCTTCCACATCAGTGAAACGTTTGTACGTGTATCTACATGTGTATTTAAAAAAAATAATTGGTTGTCACGGATATGACTTTTAGGAAGCATCTCATTCTTAACAGATCCCAGACACATAAAAGTTGAAGTTCAAACGAATCCACGTAATTCTTTGAATATTTTCCAATTCCATTAAATACTCAATGAATTATTCATTTATCTGTTCCTCTCACCGTGTTCACTTAAAACGTACATTGAATTCTGTGTTTATTTTTCTCCCAAGTCGTTAGTTTTGAGAGGTTTTCGATTATATTTATCGTTTAGATTTAATAAATAGTTGTTTTGTCAAAGCTTTCATCCAGTATAAGAACTTGGTCGATCTACTGTAATAGCGCACCTGAAGTTATAGCTTCTCTCCTTAAAATTTCACAGCACGGTGCGGATCGAACAACAAATAGATCTGGACAACACTATTAAATTCTTATGTTACATAAAAAATGTTGAAATTCCCAATGACCTAATGGTAATACATTTTTCACGTATCTGTTTAGAAATAGATTTTTGGGCTTACGTGAGATACCTTTTGTACTGACCTATGACCTCACTAGTGTCAACGTTGCACTAAATCTGTCCCTGTGCTGTTCATATACATAATGTTGGATTAGGATACTCAGTAGTTACAAAAGGAAAAGGTATCATGTTATCATTTCGACCGTATGCGCCGATGGGTTACAGCTTCTATGCAACCATGTACAAGTTTTATAATTAATTAATTAGTTTCAAGCATTTCCAAATACTGTAAATCGTATTCTCTGATTATGATAATTAGAAGTATTCGAATTAATGTACGAACTAGAAATTCCAAAAATAGTACAATTTAAACCAGGTAGAACTATATGAGTACAAATGAACGGATTATATTTGTAGTTCGTGATCAAGTATAAAGGAATAATTAGTTCGTACAAATACCACGTCCGCCGTGGCATGGGTGAGAATCTAAATTTCTATAATCGGTTGTCCTTGTCCTTAAGTTCATCTTATGTCTGTCAGACTGTATATTAGATAAAGACTCTTTATGATCTAGAATGCGCTCATTAGTATTAGAATTAACAGCGCGAATTGGAATAGACTCACCTGGTTCCTGGAATTGTATTCGATATACATGTCATTTGTGTATACTTAAATCGTTGATATCTAGAATTCGACTCAAATTTCCCAACACTGTTCACCACGATTCTAGTGGCTAGTCGAAGATCATTTCCACGATAACATGTAACTTCTGCAGACTCTAAACACATCATATTCGAACAAAGAATTCTTCCTTTTATTAGCTTTGATGGAATCTCTTTCGTCACAGAATGTTTAGCATTTCTATGTTGCAGTAGAAAAGTATCTACTCCCCTCTCCAGTTCATTAAATATTGAGGCGCTAAAAGAGTCAATAGCAGTTTTCAGTGTCCTGACAAAATTTTCCGCATGACCATTAGAACAAGGGAGCCTGGGAGCGGTGAATAAGTGCTTGTACCCTATACCATTCAATCAGGTAGTGACTGAGTCTGCAGCGAAATGAGAGCCATTATCAGCCAATAATACCGTGGGAACCCCTTTCCGACTAAACGCTTTTATTAATGCTCGGATTGTGAAGTCAGAATTTGGTGAAGTTGTGGAAAAAACTTCAGGTCACTTTGAAAAGGAATCAGTGACTACTAGTGCATAGTATTTGCCAAGAAATGGGCCACAATTGTCTGCATGAATTCTCTGCCAGGCATCAGACAATATTGGACATGGAGTACACTTCGAAGGCTGACTTTTCGACTTGTGACATTTTCCACAATAAAACGCTAACCAGAAAAAAAAATTCAAACCTTTTAAACTCTGCCCTGGGAGTCAGGTCTTCATTTAGAAGAACTATGACGCCTCATGATGAAAGTCGAGTTCCTTCGGAAGTCACGAGACCGATGCCCCTTCTGACAACCAGAGCAACCATTTATTTAGGTACATGGAATGTTTGTACAATGTAGGACACCGAGAGAGCCTTCCAAATTGATGCAGAAATGAGGAGATACAACCTGGAGGTGCTTGGGATCAGTGAAACACATTGGAAGCAAGTTGGACAACAACGACTAGCTTCAGGAGAGCTTCTGTTATACTCCGGCCATGAAGAAGAAAATGCCCACATACACCAGGAGTCGCATTGATGCTGTCCAAACAGGCACAAAATGCACTTATAGGATGGGAATCTCATGGACCAAGGATCATCAAAGCCTCCTTCAAAACAAAGAAAGAGCGCATTTCAATGAACATCATCCAATGCTATGCGCCTACCAACGACTACAATGAAGACGCTAAAGATCAATTCTACTATAGGCTGCAGTCAATCATCGAGAAGTGCCCAACAAAGGACCTGACCATTCTGATGGGAGATTTCAATGCCAAGGTTGGAACGGATAACACTGGATATGAAGACATCATGGGACGACACCGACTGGGAGAAAGGAACGAAAATGGTGAGAGATTTGCAGACCTATGTGCCTTCAATAAACTGGTCATAGGCGGCACCATATTCCCACATAAGCGCATTCACAAAACCACATGGACTTCACCGGATCACACTACACAAAACCAAATCGACCATATCTGCATCAACAAAACGTTCAGGAGGACTATAGAGGACGTGAGGACCAAGAGAGGAGCTGATATAGCATCAGATCATCACTTGCTGGTCGCCAAGATGAAATTGAAACTCAAGAAGCACTGGACAATGAGGCGGACAATATCACAAAAGTTCAATACGGCCTTTCTTCAGGATACTAACAAACTCAACAAATTCAAGATAGACCTCAGCAACAAGTTCCAGGCCTTTCATGCTCTACTCAATGGAGAAGGAACTACTATGGAGAGCAACTGGAAGGGGGTCAAAGAGGCAATCACTTCAACATGCCATGAGGTTCTGCGCCACAAGAAGCACCATCACAAGGAATGGATCACTGTCGATACACTGGATAAGATTCAAGAAAGGAGGAGCAAAAGGGCAGCAATCAATACCAGTCGAACAAGAGCAGAGAAAGCCAAGGCACAAGCTGAATACACAGAAGTAAACAAGCAATTGAAGAGGAGCATCAGGACTGACAAAAACGTAAATACGTGGGAGATTTAGCAACGACGGCGGAAAAGGCTGCAAGAGAAGGAAACATGAGACAACTGTATGGCACGACAAAGAAACCCTCTGGAAATCGCCGCAAACCAGAACGACCAGTGGAAAGCAAGGAAGGTGAGATAATCACCAACATTGAAGAGCAACAAAACAGGTGGGTAGAACACTTCAAAGAACTCTTGAATCGACCAACCCCACTGAACCCACCCAATATCGAAACACCACCCACAGACCTCCCAATCAATGTTGGCCCACCAACAATTGAAGAAATCAGCATGGTCATCAGACAAATCAAGAGTGGCAAAGCAGCAGGACCAGACAACATTCCAGCAGAGGCACTAAGAGCAGACATACCGACAACTGCAAGGATACTCCACATCCTCTTCAATAAGATTTGGGATGAGGAACAAGTACCAACAGACTGGAAAGAGGGACTTCTGATCAAAATACCAAAGAAAGGCGATCTCAGCAAGTGTGATAACTACAGGGGCATCACTCTTCTCTCAATACCGGGAAAAGTTTTCAACAGGGTATTGTTAAACAGAATGAAGGACTGTGTAGACGCTCAACTTCGTGACCAACAGGCAGGATTCCGTAAGGATAGATCGTGTACAAACCAAATCGCAACTCTACGGATCATTGTGGAACAATCAATTGAATGGAATTCATCACTCTACATCAACTTCATTCACTACGAAAAAGCACTTGATGGCGTGGACAGGACAACACTATGGAAGCTTCTTCGATACAAAGGCGTGCCGCAGAAGATAGTCAATATCATACGGATATCCTACGATGGGTTAAACTGCAAAATTTTGCATGGAGGACAATTGACAGACTCGTTCGAAATAAAGACCGGTGTCAAGCAAGGTTGCTTACTCTCACCCTTCCTCTTCCTCCTGGTGATCGACTGGATCATGAAGACGTCGACATCTGAAGGGAAGCACGAGATACAATGGACATCTAGGATGCAACCGGACGATCTAGACTTCGCAGATGATCTGGTCCTTCTATCCCAAACGCAACAACAGATGCAGAAGAAGACGAACAGTGTGGCAGCAGCCTCAGCAGCAGTAGGTCTCAATATGCACAAAGGGAAAAGCAAGATTCTCCGATACAACACAGCATGCACCAATGCAATCAAAATTGACGGAGACGATTCGGAAGATGTAAAAACCTTTACATATTTGGGCAGCATCATTGATGAACAGGGTGGATCTGATGCAGATGTGAAGGCACGGATCGGCAAAGCAAGAGTAGCATATTTACAACTGAGGAACATTTAGAACTCAAAGCAACTGTCAACCAACACGAAGGTCAGGATTTTCAACACAAATGTCAAGGCACTTCTACTGTGTGGGGCGGAAACCTGGAGAACTACGAAAGCCATCATCCAGAAGATACATGTGTTTATTAACAGTTGTCTACGCAAAGTATTTCGGATCTGTTGGCCGGACACTATTAGCAACAACGTACTGTGGGAGAGAACAAGCCAGATCCCAGCGGAGGAAGAATTCAGGAAGAAGCGCTGGAAGTGGATAGGACACACATTGAGGAAAGCACCCAACTGCGTCACAAGACAAGCCCTCACATGGAATCCTGAAGGTCAAGGGAAAAGAGGAGGGCCAAAGAACACATTACGCCGGGAAATGGAGATAGACATGAGAAAAATGAAAAAGAATTGGATGGAATTAGAAAAGAAGGCCCAGGACTGAGTGGGTTGGAGAATGCTGGTCGGCGGCCTATGCTCCATTGGGAGTGACAGGTGTAAGTAAGTAAGTAAGTAATCTCCGGCCTCCAACGTGTGAGCCTTGTCAAGGACTTAATTTTCTTAACACCTAAATGTCTGCTCATAAAGATTTTCACAGGCAGATTAACGTAATGAAGGAGGGATAACAACACGATCATTTAAACACAAAATAGACAGGAAATATACGTTTCAGATTAGTATTACAACCTTTCCGCATAGCACTGAGTATATATCCAAAGCTTCCACGAATTTCAATAATGATATCTGGACGTCTCATCGGTAAAGGTTGCACTAACAAATAGTCTGAGGTATTAACAGGTCTATCTTGTAATCATTGTCGAGAAATGTAGTCATAGGCACTCAGGGCAATACTTCATTGTTGAACCATAGGAGCTGAGGAACGTGCTAAAGATTTTTCAGGATGATAAATGAACTTTAAAGCCTTATGATCGGTAACAATAGTGAATTTCTTCCCAAATAAATATTTATGAAGTCTTTTAACAGCCCAAAACACAGTTAATACTTCTCGGTGGTTTAGTGAATAACCTTGTTCAGCAACAGTAAGTTTGCGTGAAACACAGATAACTGGTCTACCTTCCTGCTCCAAAACTGCACCAATACCCACAGGTGATGCATCAGTAATAAGTATAAAATGTACACTAGAGGAGAAAGTTCGAAGAACAGCATCACTTTGAAGAAAATTTAGTAGATTTCGTAAGCATGACTCTTGTTCGTCACCCATTTGAATGAATTGGATTTCAAAATATTAAATAAACAATTTGCGCGACAAGAAAAATTTGTAACAAAACGGGAATAGTATTGAAGAGCATCCAATAGTGAACGTAGTTCTGTAAGATTTTTTGGAGACGGTGCATGTCAGTGGAGCTAGTCATTTCATATCTGGTCTAAAACCATTACCATCAACTAGGTATCCAAGACATTCGAGACTAGATACACAAAATGAACACTTATTTGGATTCACTGTAATATTCTTCTCAATTAAACGATGCAATAAAGCAATAAGTCTCTGGTCATGAACCACCTCATCAGAATCATGAGCAATGACGTCATCTTGATAAAATTCAACATCTTCAAGATTACTAACTTCATTATCCATCAATTCCTGAAATGTGGTTGGAGAACAACTCAGACCAAATGGAAGGAAGTTGTATTTGAACAGGCCAAAAAGAGTATTAGTTGTTGTCAAAGTAGATGAAAATTGATCTAAAGGGGTTTGAAAATAAGCATCTTTTAAGTTAACTTTCAAGAATACCTTAAAACCATGAAGTCTATTAAGAATATTTTCAGCTTTCACCGTTGTGCATATTTACTTCAACAAACGGGAGTTCAATGTAAATCAATAGTTACCACATATTATAGGGGTACGAATAATTCAATGTCCACTTCAAAGTACCACTTCTCAAAGACGATAAGGAATTATTCGTATTTTTAAGACAAACTAGATCACTCTGTACTTGAATTTCTATGTGCTGAATTCTCATCCCTCCACTGCACCTAGCACACGCAGCTATTAAATCTTTAAGTAAAGCGATAGAATCTTCTTTAGAAACTAATAAAGAACTCCATTTTAAGCCTTTTCAAACCCAGTAATGAGGGTCCTGTTTCACTAACTAAAAACTCACAAGGCATTATGAGGAATTATCATTTCTAATCAGCAATTCACACATCCTCGTATGGGTAGTTTTTGTCCAGTAAATCCCAATACTAAGACTTCAGTGGGTCATACTACAACGTTAGAATCTAAAATTTTCAAGTTCTTGGATGAAATATTAGACTCATTACTGCCTGTGTCAGCACTAAAGTCATGAAATGAACCATAATAATGTCTTCTGAATATGGACATTACCTTTTGAAATCGTGGATAGAGATAAATGATGATTAGAAACACTCAACTGAATAAAATCAGAATTATAGGGTTTATCATCACTAGTGGCAAAATGAACAGTAGCTTTACAGACCGACATGATGTGTTCCATTTTACCACACATAAAGCATTTGGCATGACGAAAGACACATGGATTACGTAAGTGAAATTTACAACAGGATAAACATCTACCGAACCTGTGCTCATCTGCTTTGTAATTGAATGTTAAATCACTTTTCATATTTCTATGAGAATGGGAACCATTATTAAGCAAATGAGAGTTTGAGTGTTGCTGAGAATGCAGTTCATCACGATGATTAAGCAAAGTACTAGAAATTTTCACTCACTACAAATCAACCTCATTCACTGTTTAGATTTCTTGGGATGAACTTTTGCGCTGCTGAATTAATTCCCTTCCTTAATTTGGAATATTTATACTAGCAATCAACCGATCACGAAACTGTTTCCAATCGGTTTGCGAAATTGCGCTTCGCGACCTGTTTCTACAGTTCAAGTATAAGACCTTAACTTTCTGATCATTTTATAAAGCTTCGATGTCTCTACATTTATAGCTAGTACACTGCACATGACTATGTGATAATTCTCTGAGTGATTTATACGACAATGAAATTAGTTTTTGTGGAGAAGTCAGATTCTTCAGCAGGTTATAATCTTCTTTGCCCAAGAACGTCAGGAATTAGGCTGTGAATTTATTATTTTTAATACGTTTTTTAGTCATGCACCAGATCTTGAAGCGCTATATGTGGTTCTCAAAGTCATCCTTACTTGGGTTAATATCCAACTGTCCGAAATTTGACTCCATCGCGACGCCAATATGATAAATAAGTGTTCGGATTAATGTACTAAGAGTTCCCTAAATAGTACACTTTAAGGCAGACAGCATTATATGAGCACAATGAACGTATTATATTTGTAATTCGTAATTAGCGGGAAATCAAGTACAAAGGAATCATCAGTTCGTACAAATACTACAGTGAACGAGTTTTTTTAGTCAGACCCACCTCTTTTATCCGATAGTTGGAGTTAAATAGATCATAATGAAGCCAGCCATTTATATGTGTTAGGCTATCTGTTTAGATTGTAATTATGGATTAGAGTAAATAGGACTTGTCTGACAATTTTTCTATTGACGCCATCGCCGTCGTAGACAGTGGATTGAAATTAGTAACAAAGTTATTTAAGTCAGGTTGTCTGAAACTACAGACAAGTTTCATGCTCCTGCACATTTATTATGTAAGATTGCTCAGTAATCATTTTCATTTTAGGAGGAGTCATCCAGTGGACTGTCCTCTCTGAAACCGTTCTGTCAAAAAACGGAAGCCATCATGGAAATAGAAGCCAATCAACTTTTATCTTCAGCATTTTCGCGTTCTGTAAAAATGTTGGAAGAAAATAAGGACAACCTGTTAGCACTTATTGATGCTCTTTTAAAGAACGAAGTTCTCAGTTACGATGACCTGACGAAAATTTTAGGTGATAACAAACGTTCAACAAAAATTAAACCTCGTTTATAATGTAATTTCGTTTAAATTCCTTCAACTTCTTGTGTATATAAACATCGTATTAACCCTATTCTTATGTAACTGTTATTCATTGATTCGGATAATTGGTTGTAAATAGTGGTTATCAAACTTCACATCTACTGAGGTAGTTCTTAAGATATTCCAATATCTTCACACTGCTTAATCAATTAGTCAGCAGTTATGGCGGTTGACTTTCAGCTAGTAAGTCTCAGGCTCAAACCCCGTTCCACTAACTTGGGTTTGGGTAACCGAGTAATTCCAATAATCCTTACACTGGAATTGTGACTCGAAGCCAAGTAAGCCAACATGTACTCGGTAAATAAATTGAGTGAATGACTAGCGAATTGTTGTTGATATGTTTTAGTCTAGTGTCAAAAGCTTTAGCGATACAAGTTGGTTTTGAAAACCATACATGTACTCAGTCAACAGCTTTATGTTTATGAGATGATAGGAGAACAGCATATCCCAAGTCAGATGTTACACGTGGTTTTTGTTTTGGAAATTTAGGATTACAAGCAGGGATATTACTGCACACTTGTTCATCGAATCAATTTGTAACGTACAGTCTACCAGTTGCTGTAATATCACGTCGATTGCATTCCAAAAAAACTTCAAATTGCAAAAGATGGATTTGGTAAACTGCTGAAACTGGGCCATTTTGCAGTCTAAATCCTCTTTGTTGGATATGATTCTTTGGAAGGATTTGGCTATCCGCTGACTACCACGTTTATTTATTTATTTATTTGGACACATGAATATTGGTACAGGAGAGCGCCAATATAAATGCGCCACACAAAACAATGAAAATTCGAGAGGAATACAAAGAAAGAAAAAAAAGCTAAGGAGCGCAACAAAAAAAGAGAGAACAATAACGAAGAGATTGGTGTAAGGTAATGTGCTAGTAATCAGGGAACGCAAAGGTACAATCGGAAGAAATCTTTCAGGTAAGGGAGACAGAACCACTTTTTATGAAGAAAGTAAAAGAAGGTTACAGCAGGATCGCCACTGGCTTCTATTCTGAGCCATATCTGATAACGTCTCTAGCCACTGTGTAGCACCATCTCTCAGACCCCAACCAGGGAGTCGTGAAGGACCAACACAAGCCAGTCCTTTGCAGCTTTCTTCCATGCCACGACACCATGTCATGCACTGACCACCTCTCCGCTTCTTCCAACCAGTCCCAGAGTCGGCAAATAATGCACGACGTGGAATTCTCTGGGACGACATTCGGAGAACATGTCCAAGCCACCGAAGTCGGTGTTTCAAGATGGTGACACCAATTGAGTTATCATCTCTGTGCCCGAACACACGATGCCGAACCTCTGCATTACTGACATGGTGTTGCCACTGAATGTCAGCAATCCTTCGGAGACAGCGATGATCGAACACAGAGAGTCATCTAACGTCCTCAACTCGGAGAGGCCAGGTTTCACAAGCATAGAGCAAAACTGCTCCCACCGACGCGTTGTAGATCCGACCTTTTACGGCCAGACTAACATCACGAAGGTGCCATAGATGGCCCAGATTGGCATAAGCCGCTCTGGCTTTCACTATACGTCCATTGATCTCATCACTCACACCCCCACCAGCACTTATGCAGCTACCTAGATACATGAACTTCTCGACTACGTCTATCCGCTCACCATCCAGGGTGAGTACAGGATTAGGATCCTGCCAGTCTTGTAGGAGTACTTTGCACTTCGAAGGTGCAAAGCACATACCATACCTACGGACACTGATTGCCAACTGATTAAGTGCGGATTGCATGCCATGGGCATTATCGCACAGTAAGACAATATCGTCCGCATACTCAAGGTCGAGAAGTCTTTCTCCAGGCAACAGATCCACACCACCATTACTTACATTCATCAGAGCTGTTTCCAGAATGTCATCGATGGCAAAGTTGAAGAGGAATGGTGACTACCACGTACTAACAATCAAATGTTTGCGGACCGAAATCTTGTGCAGCAAACTAAAAGTTTTCAAAATTAATGTTGCAAAAGAATCTCGCTTTATTGAACAGATAGTTCAGAATTCGCCCTCTTATGTATATATTGACTATTTGGTCGTGAACAGAGCAACAGCTGATGATCATTTACATCTCCGTACCACGATCATTAAGAACCATTTCCAGCAAGCCATATGGCCTTTCACATCCCGGTATTCGCGCGATTTACGTTCGTAAGAGTTATGTACGTGTAGCTACATATGAATCGTGACGTTCCACAGTAGGCGTAGACTTATTTGAAGTGTCAAAAATGAAATGATACAGTTGCTCCTACAGGCAAGTTTATGGAACCAGATAATGTATTTGAACACATCCACATAAGCAAGAGTCGTTACCTACATTAGATAATCTCACGAATTAAATGACATGTAGAGACTTAATATGTGGTCGTTAGCAGTACCCCTAAAAGATAGATCAGTCAAAGTATTTGCGAGAACTATTATCTACCATCTTTGAAGTAGTTTTTGCTAATTACTGTGGGTAGAAGTGGACAAAGCAAAAGCCACCTCTTTTAACAGATGAAGGATGCATTTATTTTCACATCGTTTGATTGAATTTTTCCGTTGATATTTAGATCTTTAATTGAACAACCACTTATTGGCATACGTGCTTCCTGTGCGAATTGCCTCGATATTACTTTAGGTCACAAGCATTATAAGCAAGAATGAATGGTATCTAGTAGTGGAATCCAGGACGTAGGTCTTTTGTATCCGGGACTCTTCAGTTGGATGTATCTGCATATCAGAGTCGATATTAACTCCGCGATTGAAACTCATTACCCTTCACTTCCAACGTTATCGTATTATGCATTTAGCTACCGAGTCCAGACAGCCACTAGCTTGTGCTAAGTGAACAATGCGATAGCATTTTTGGCGAACGGTACTGGGTTGGAGTCCCGGAGTGAACATCAAATCTAGCATGCAGGTACATCCAGTTGACGAATCCCAAACAGGAAGAAATGCGCGTCCTGGATTCCACTGCTAGCCACCATCCATCTTTGCCCATAGCCGAAGGATCTGTCAGGGCGTTATCACAGTACCGATATGAATTGAAAGGAGTTGCCTCTCAAACTCCATCGGCTAGTATTCTAAAGCTAGTTGGTTAGTAGAATTTTGCATAAACGCATTGCTTCAGGTTTTCACTTCTACAACAGCATATCTTGTACAAACTTTACAGGACAGGATTACAAGCAGAAAAGTAAAATAAATAGGATTATAGGGAATTTGGATAGTTGTAAAAGACTATATGGTTGGTTGTCAGGGTTTTATGGTTTACTGTTGGTTATTGTCTCTATTTTGATGTGTTCATGTGGTGTATGCTACTTATGTTGACATAAGTAGTATATGACACCAGTCAGAAGTGGAATGCCTGGAGGCAGGTTGTAAAGATAGAATCGAAGAGAACGGGGACTGAGAGCAATAAAGTTTGAGACAATTAATAGGATATTTGCAGATGAAGTATTTTGTGTATGGTTCTTATATTTTACTAAGATACTCTTTAATTTTGTTTTAAAATACAACTGGTTGTCCCCCAACTGTTTCCATCCACTACGTTTATACTATACGCTATAAAAAAGTTTAAATACCAGCCTGTTATTTTGTGTTTATTTTCGTCAAGTAAAATTGATTTACATTTTATGGTAATTTTATTGTGTATATGAGAAAGTAGGAGTTATTCAAGCGTCATCCAGTACGCTTAACTTTACAGGAATACTAGCTTAATTTAAATAAAATATTATAATGACTTCATTTTCTTTGCTGGTGGCTCAACATCTGAAGTTAGATCATATTCTGATAAGTATTTTATGAATGAATCCGATAACTGGAAATCGGAAGTGTTTATTTGTTTTGTGGATTGTATTTCAGGAACGCTAATGTCTTTCTCGATAAAAGTCTTTAATTCAATACGGAGATCATCAGATGACAGATGCGTTAGATGGTCTAAAGAAACTTGTCTCCCATCGATATGTAGCATGTACTGTTTTGTCGAAGTAACTCCTATCCCCCCAACACAAACATCGTTTCCCCATTGCATAATTAAATTAGCTAGTTGATTTACCTATAAAAAAGTATTTTGAAAGACAATGAACCAGAAGAATATGAAATAATACATGGCATGCCATAAGTTTTAAGAATAAATAACAAACTTCTTGTTGGGATATTCAGAAAAATATCCCAAAAATTATTCTGTTAAGTCTAATGCTATCCTTGGACTTTAGATGGTATCATTTTCCTATTGGTCAATATTTATTTCACGTATCATTTTCCTACTGGTCAATACTTATTTCACGTGTCATTTTCCTGTTGGCCAAATGTTGTACAAATGTTATTTTCTATTTTATGGTACGATGTGGTCTGCTTGATTGGTATATAAACAGAGTATGTTTGAAATATAACGATTCATATCGTAGAGGCTGAGACTTGTGTTCTGTACTTATCTGGCTGGGCTAAGCGGAAAGCAGGGCCAATCAGAACCCTAGACTGCTCGCACGTGTTTACGCGTCATTGTTCCGATCGATAAGTCACCGCTTTCTAATCGGCGGTCACAAGTTATAACACTTCTCGAACACCATTCAAAATGTTTAGCGTTTGTTACTATCATTACTACTACGATGATCTTGACTCCTTTGCTACTCATTACGTTGATTTCATTTCGTCGTATTGATGCAGTGCGACAACTAGAGCTAAGGCACATTTGTACTAGAATCTACTTTGATTATAATTGACTAACTGTTATGAATTGATAAGGAAATTCCAAAGACCATTCAAAATTAACAAAGTAAAATAACTACAGGTCATAATCTGTTAGTTTAGCAGTTTTATATATATTGACTACTTCGTTGGTAGATTTCAATCGAGCAAATGATCGTGGGAATGCAGCGTGGTATTAGTCCGTAAGAAAATCGACTAAGTCGAACTAAAAGTTACGTATGAATTAGGGCTCTTAAATAACCCCGTAGTAGAAGGTACAATTTTTTTTAAGG